ACTCGTGATAATAACAACACTTAATAACACTTGTAATAATTGTAGATGATGTCAAGTATGATTATATGTACACATATGGTTTTATAACTTCATTTTCTTTTTAAATGTTTTATTTTAAGATCTAATCCACAGCCATACTGACCCGCACTCCTCTATTTGACGTTTTTTCATCCCTCGTTCCTCCCATGTAGTCCCATTAATTTTCGCCACCACTCAAACTCTATTACTTCTTTGCCTGAGAGTCACCAAAATGCATGTACTCATTTAGGACAGGTCCCCAAGCTCTAATCCACAGCCGTCCTGACCCGCACTCCTCTATTTGTCGTTTTTTTCATCCCTCGTTCCTCCCTTAGAATCCCATTACTTTCGGCCAAACCATAGCCCTGTATTTTCCATTGTGCAACAGACACTGAAATGCATGGGCACGTTCCCAAGCTGTAATCCACAGCCACACTGACCCACACTTATCTATTTGTGGTTTATTCATTCCTCGTTCCTCCCATAGAGTCCCATTTATTTTCTTTCGCAACAAAGCCCTCATCTGTCTTTTTCTCAACAGCCACCAAAGTACATGTACTCTTTCAGATCAGGTCTCCAAGCTCTAAATCACAGCCATACTGACCCACATTCCTCTATGAGTACTGTTTTCGTCCCTCATTCCTCCTATAGAATTCCATAGTAACGGTGGCGCAACCATTCCGCATTTCCTTTAGGAAATGCACTTTTCTAGTTATATATATCGCTGCTGGCAGAAGAAAACCTCCTACCTCCATTTCTGTCGTTTTTCAGTTTTTGGCATAATATGAAAATGCCTGTTGTCCTTTACGTTGTGTGTAAATTTCAAGATGAATGAACCAGAATAAACGGCCCAAAATGACTTGGAAAAATGTCTGGTTCCATTGACTTACATTGAAAGTAAAGTACGTTTTTTACTTCTCCTGTAAAGGTAACATACAAGGTACAAGGGTTTTCTTGTACACGCACAATTATATATACACACATTATTATACATATATGCACACACAATTAAACATGTACACGCACAATTTTACTTAAACACACAATTTTACATACATGCCCAATTATACATATACACAAAAAAAAATATATATATATATATATATATATATATATATATATATACAAAATACAGAATACACAAATATTTGCACCCTAATGATTAAACATTATAATAGTATAACAAGGAATAATTTAAAATGTTTATTTTTGCTGCCTATACCTTTTCATGTTTCACTTTAAATACAAGAGACATCTTCAGTGAGGTTAGTCAAAGAAAACAATTGTAAGGCTTTTTTTCTCGAAATATTAGGACTTTTTTCTTGAAATATTACAACTTTTCCTCAAAATATTACAACTTTTTTCTCAAAATATTACGACTTTTTTCTCAAAATAGTAAGACTTTTTTTCTCGAAATATTACGACTTTTTCTCTCGAAATATTACAACTTTTTTCTTGAAATAGTATGACTTTTTTCTCGAAATATTACCACTTTTTCCTCAAAATATTGTGACTTTTTTCTTGAAATATTACGACATTTTTCTCGAAATAGTACGACTTTTCCTCAAAATATTGACTTTTTTCTCAAAATATTACGACTTTTCCTCGAAATATTATGACTTTTTTTCTCAAAATATTACGACTTTTTCCTCAAAATATTACGACTTTTTTCTCGAAATATTACGACTTTTTCCTCGAAATATTACGACTTTTTCTCAAAATACTATGACTTTTTTCTCGAAGTATACTATTTTTATTTTTATTAACAGCGGCCCTAAAACGCCGTCGTAGACATTTGACAACTTGTTTCACTTCATCAAAATGCTCTAGCATTAAAGACAGGGATTTAAGACTGGATTAGTGGGCAACATATGCAGCCCAACATTGCTTCTACACCCGTGATAGGCCCATCGCTCCCAACTGGAAAAGGCTGAATTCCTAAATAATAAATAATTTGAAAGACAACTAAATATAGCTAACTGAGTAATTTCAGCAAAGGTAACCTAGCTGGGACTAAAATTGTAAAAACTACAATATCTACGAATATAATAACCAAGAACTAATAATAATAATAAGCTAATTGGCTGACTTATTTGCATACTGTGACATGTCATGGTACTTCCAGAGAACGTGTAGAGAGGAGAATTACCATTCTGCAATGTCTTTCAGGTTTCTCAAACACTAGAGGGCGCTCCCGAGCGAGTCCAAAATGAATGGGTTGATATGGAGCATTTGAGCAAAATCATAGTTTATAAATGCTGAAACAGTTTTAATGTAAAAGAATACGATCATTTCCAGAACACAGAGCAGCATAAAACATTTTAACACCGCTGTTATACTTTAAGAGTATAGGAGTTTAAAACAGCATCCCATGTATGTCATGACGTCAGTGAACGCGAACAGCCAATGAGCCACTCCGCCCCACAACCAATCAGCACCCGTTTGCTGTAGAAAAAAGGAAACATACAGGTGAGTTTTCGTTTTTAGCCGTTGAGCTCCATTTACTCCCATTCATTGAGGACTCGCTCGCTTGTGGGCGCCCTCTGCTGTTTAGCAGTTCTATTTTTGATATAATGGGGGAAACAGGAAGTGGCCAGCAAACGGGTTTTGGGCAGAGCCGGTTCGTGAGGAGCCTGGCCTCTTGCTATTCACCCCGTTATATCAAAAAGAAGACTGTTAAGAAGCAGAGGGCGCCCACGAAGGAGTCCTCAATGAATGGGAGTGAATGGAGATAAACGACTAAAAACGAAAAGTTAAAATAGTTTCTAATCACTGAACCAGAACCTTCCTTTAATTTTAGACAGTAGAAGGATGGATTTCACTAAAAAAGCAAAGAAATCTCACCTGTATGTTTCCTTTATTCTACATTAAAGGGGTTTTGGGCAGCAGGACGCTAACGTTACTGCTACTGAGTGCTGATTGGTGAGTGGAGCAGCTCATTGGCTGTTTGCGCTCACCGACATCATGAACGTACATGAGGCGCCGTTTTAAACCCCTATAACTCGAGTTTAAAAGCTCTTAAAAGTATAACAGCAGTGTTAAAATGTCTTATGCTGCTCTGTGTTCAGGATATGAATTAATTCTTTTACATTAAAAATGTTTCAGCATTTATAAACTATGATTTTACTGAAATGCTCCATCTTAACCCATTCATTTTGGACTCGCTCGGGAGCGCCCTCTAGTGTTTGAGAAACCCGGAAGACATTGCAGAGTGGTAATTCTCCTCTCTACAAGTTCTCAGGTACTTTGGTACCAAGACACGTCATCCTAGCCTATAGCAGAGTTGAACCAGTGGGGGCGCTGCAGAGGCGGAACTGACCAGGATAAAAATGATATCTTTACAGTTTGGATAGATGGGTTCACATCTTAAGCAAGGCTGGTATATTTTATTACTACAGAGCAGAGCATTTCAGCTGTTAATGAAAAGAAAGGTCTGAGGGCGGAGTTTCTCTTTAAAAATAATAATTATTCTCCATCCTCATAGTCAGTCGTGCAACCTAAATATCTTTCAAGCCTTTATCTGAATGCTGTTTGCTGCTCTGTACTGTTGAGGCTGTTGTAGTGATGACATCTGTTATTTGAACTTTGCTTAATTTTTAAACTGTAAATGTAGAAATCTTGAACGTCTGTCATTAAGGCAATTCCACGAGCTGTGTAACGTGTAGAAGTGGACACTGACCCTCAACTTCCCAGCTCCTAATACAAGTAACAGAATTTTTACATGCAGAATTTTCCAATTACTTTCTAAGGAGCTGTTTCAATACGATACTGTACCCAAATGTTTGTTTCAGAAATTCAATTCTTCTTTTTTTTTTCCCAAAGGATTATATATGTAAACTCAGATCTATGTATATTACATCTCCTGCCCCCCCCCCACAAAAGCTAAGGATGTTCATTTCAAATATATCCATCTAAAGAGTTTCTGAGACAAAGGTTTAATTTGGATGAAAATGTTTGCGCTTTCTGTAAAGAAGATTCCGTCACTGTCCAATGAAAATCTCCAAAATAGTGACTTTACAGGAGAGGGCAAAAACCTTCTTCACTTTCAATGTAAGTCAATGGAAGGAGATTTTATTCTAAGCAGTTTTGGAGCATTCCTATTGGTCCAATCATCATGAAATCTTCACACAATGTGAAGCACAGCTGCTGAGCTAAAATGACGCAGAAAAATAAAAATCGCAAAAAATGGAGATGCATGTTTTTCATTGGACAGCGACGATATTGAAGCAACTGGGCATTTATTTGTTTCTTGTAAGGACTCGAACACATTTCGGGACGATTTACATTATTTAACCCAAAGATGGTGGGTTTTACAAAGGCAGATGTTCTATATGGATGTTCTGATTGTAAATGTTATTTTATTGTTAGGAAGATTTTTCATACACAAAGTAAGGTTTATAAAAACAACACCACCTTTTTACACTTTTCATAAGGAGCTCATGTCCTATTTTGGTACCTTAGAGCGCATGGAAAAGAAAAATGCCAAAAGTTAGTAAAACTAATTTATGAAGTTTGAAAGATACCAGGGAGGGATTGTGTCTCCCCTAACACCCCCTCCCCCCCATTTTAAAATTAATATATTATTATTATTATTATTATTATTATTATTATTATCGTTATTATTATTATTATTATTATTATTATTTGTTTTTGTGATATGGTTACTCATCTGTTTGTACATTGATTGCATGAATAAACAAAAAAAAAGAAAGAAATCTTAAACGTGGTGAAAGTCAACATAATATGGAAATGAGAATCGACGTCACATCCGTTGCTGAAGCGATCTGTGATTGGTCTAATTTACAAAATTGTTTTTCCAATTTGATCGCTAATTTATTATCATGTACATATATATTTCTAATTATTTTACCACTGAACAGATTAATTGATGGCTGACATATAGTAAATATAAAGGTTTTTTTTTTTTTCAACTTTTTTTCTTCAGCTTAATTTTTCAATTTGCTCCTGGTTGAACTTTTATTTTGGAAAATTGGCGGCCCATGCCGACCGGACGTCGGATCTGGTTTCTCAGTGCTGGAGGAGCAGCTTCAGTCTTCATTACACATTAAAATATATTTTGTTTATTTAAATCTTTCTGTTTTGCAGAATCAGCATGTTTCGTAGGAAACTGACCGCTTTAGATTATCACAACCCCGCGGGCTTTGACTGCAAAGGTGAGGCTTGAGGTGAAAAAAGGAAAAACAGCCGTGAACGTGGACAAAACCGAGATCCACACTGAACAGGAAACCACAGAGTAAACAAACTGTCAGATTAGGCTGTGAACTTAATGATTATTGTGGAATATTAATTTAAAATTTAACGTTTTAATCCGCTTGATCCTGAATTTACTACATGTGGCTCTGTGACTGCAGGCCAGACAGTTAGAACCGACCTACACTGATCAGCCACATAATGACCACCTCCTTGTTTCTACGCTCATTGTCCATTTTATCAGCTCCACTTACTATATAGGGGCACTTTGTAGTTCTACAGTTACAGACTGTAGTCCATCTGTTTCTCTAATACTTTGTTAGCCCCCTTTTACCCTGTTCTTCAGTGGTCAGGACCCCCGTGGACCCTCACAGAGCAGGTACCATTTGGGTGGTGGATCATTCTCAGCACTGCAGTAACACTGACGTGGTGGTGGTGTGTTAGTGTGTGTTGTGCTGGTCTGAGTGGATCACACACAGCAGTGCTGCTGGAGTTTTTAAACACTGTGTCCACTCACTGTCCACTCTATTAGACACTCCTATCTTGTCAGTCCACCTTGTAGATGTAAAGTCAGAGACGATAGCTCATCTGCTGCTGCACAGTTTGTGTTAGTCATCCTCTAGTCCTCCATCAGTGGTCACAGGACGCTGCCCACAGGACGCTGTTGGCTGGATATTTTTGGTTGGTGGACTATTCTGAGTCCAGCAGTGACACTGAGGTGTTTGAAAACTCCAGCAGCACTGCTGTGTCTGATCCACTCAGACCAGCACAACACACACTAACACACCACCACCACGTCAGTGTCACTGCAGTGCTGAGAATGATCCACCACCCTGCTCTGTGGTGGTCCTGACCATTGAAGACCAGTGTGAAAGGGGATGCAGAGAAACAGATGGACTACAGTCTGTAACTGTATAACTGTATGGTCAGTGGAGCTGATAAAATGGACAGTGAGTGTAGATACAAGGAAGTGGTTTTAATGTTATGGCTGAGTGGTGTATGATAATAGTATAAGAATTGCAAAATTTTTACCTGTGTGTGATGTTTGGGTAGTACTGTCTTATAGTAATCTATAAACTTGTGTACTATTCTGTTGTAAACTATAGGAAATGTCAGAGTTTGGAATAAAATCCTTAAATGTTAAAAATGTAAAATTTCTGTACCACTATTATAGATTTTGTTCAGAATATGGGAGAAGGCAGAAGTTTAGATTTAAAAACACTTGGGTCCTTTAATGCATTTAGATCAAAATAAAGGATGATATGTTTATTTTTGTGCTCATTTACATGCTTTTGTTTTGCTCTTCTTATTTAACTCAGATGAAACCGAGTTCAGAAATTTCATCGTTTGGCTCGAGGATCAAAAAATCAGACATTACAAAATCGAGGATCGTGGAAACCTGAGGAACATCCCAAGCTCTGAGTGGCCAAAGTACTTTGAAAAGGTTATTTTCCCTCTTACTGTTTATATATATATATATATATATATATAAAATAGTGTCGATATATATACATATATGTTGCTGCACCATTGGCCTCCCACTCATTCATCATTGGTCAGTTTCTGACCACAAGACCGCTGTCCAGATATTATTTGGATGGTGGTTCATTCTCAGTACAGCAGTTACATTGACATGGTAGTTTGTGTGGTGCTGAAAAATGACCGTTGATGAAGGACTTGAGGAGGCTAATCAACAGATGGGCTGCAGCCTCTAACTGTACCTGGTGTAGACCAGGTCAGATCCTGAATGAATATGATCCAATCACTGAGTATGTATGAAAATGTATAAAGCAAATTTAATTAAAATTGTATTTAATATCGACACTATTTTAATATTAATGTATCATCACAGTTCAAAGAAAATCAAGTGTCTTCAAATTGGCAAAATTACAGAAGACAGCAAAAATGTCCTTTATGTTCAGTGTAAGTTAATATAATGAGGTTTTTTAATTACAAGCAATTTTGGAGCCTTCCTATTGGTCCATTCATCATGAAATTTTGACACAATATAAAAAGAGCAGCTGGTCAAATGATGTAAGAAAATGTTTAGACTGCGACAGTATTTTAAAATATTTTAATGCATATTTTAGCACAAATCCGTAATGGGAAAAGTTAAGTTAGCATTTTGTATTTTTATTTACTTGTGAATCACAAGGTGAACATATTTTTGCTGGTGGTTATTATTTTCCTTCATGATGATGCGGCACTGTGAAGCAGGATGCACAGAAACAAATTATTATTTAATCTTGTCCCGTTTGTCTGATTACAGTATCTACAAGATGTGAACTGCCCGTTCAGTGCCCAGGAGAGAGAAGAGTCTGTGGACTGGCTGCTGGGCCTTGCAGTTCGTTTTGAATACGGTGATAACGGTATGGTTCTCTTACTGTATGCCTTTTACTGCTGTCAGTGCTTTAACTGGGGTTTGCTTTGCTGCGATCATAACTAGAGGTGAAAGATGGCTTTTTTATATATATTTTATATATATATATATATATATATATATATATGTATATACACATATAAAATTGTTGTCCAATGAAAAACATATATCTTCATGATGATTGGACCAATAGAAATGCTCCAAAATTGCTTAGAATAACAGCTCAAGATTTTTGCCCTCTCCTATAAAGTTACTATTTTGGAGATACTTGTTTTTCTTTGGACAGCGATGATATAAAGCTAATTATATACTAAGCAGATCAAAAATCAATGTGAATCCTGGCCTCAAAATCAGACATTACTTCTAATCTGAAAATATGTACAGTAAATAATGTAGAGAACAAAAATAACTGATAAGAACAGAACAAAATGCACTGAATCAGTTAAATGCAGTTTTTAAAATGTGTCTAAAAATGCAAAAATGACCAATACTGACTCATGGGCTGTGAATAGGAACGATCGCACAGAGTCTGTAGTGCTGGACATTGAGACGTCCATGTAACTACAGACCACTAGATGGCGGTGTTGTCTCAGATTTAGTGATCAAACGTAGTGTAACGTGGTCGCTGCACTGCGCTGCAGTCCTGCAGAATTACTTTAAGCCAAATGTGTCCGGTGAATATTGAGTGAATGGGCCTGCTGACCAGGATGGCCGTGTGAAATCCGCTACAGCATGTGGCTTTAATTCTGAAAGGAAGTTCTTCATTTCTAAGACACCACAGCAGTCGGTAACTCTAGACTCTCTGTGCTTTTTTCCATATTTGCATACCTGCTGTGTAATTATGTGCACATTGTGTCCTTCCACAGTGGAGAAATACAGGAACTGCACACCTGCAGCCGAGGCCGGTAATGCCCAGAAGCCAGCTGACCCCCTCATTAACCTGGATAGTGAGTGTTTCCTCGTCTTTGCTTTTCTGTAATAATAGTCTTGAGTCTCTCTTTTTCAGTTTTTTATTTTTACCCCATCCCTTGTTTTCGAGTGTCACTTTGCCCCTTAGAACTGAGTTACAGGGTAGTGGTTGAAATCTTCCCTCTGAAATGAGACCCTCAAATAAAAAGAGCATCACTTCATTATCAGCTACCAGCGCTGCTCTGTAGGTGACCCTGCCAGTCTGCAGTGACAGCAGAGGAGGGTGAAGTTCAGCTCCTCACTGCATTACATGCTTTCAAAGAGGGGGGGGGCAATTATTTATTATCACCCACCCCTGATTCTTCAGTGATATAAAGCTGAAGTCAGATATTCACCAGCTTCTTGTTCGAGTTTTCTCGTTCCACCTTAAATGGAGCAGCAGTTCTGATGCCTGAGGCGCACATCATTTAAAACCATTTATCTTGGCAATAACTGTGTTTTTGTCTTAAAAACATATATATGTAAATAAACATGAACAAGAGTGAAAAACACACCAAACACCTGATTTAATTTCATTATATATTGATTAGACAAACCAAGTGTTGGATAATAGCTACACATAATACTGGGCTGCCATAAGAACAAGTCTTATTACTTATTTATTAATGTTTTTTTTAATTTATTCATTTATTTAAACTGACCAATGGTGTATGAGGTAGAGTGTAGAGTGGGGCTGAGAGTGCAGCAACAGTAAGAGAGAAAATAATCTTTTCAAAGTACTGTGGCCAGTCAGAGCTTAGGATGTTTCTCAGGTTTCCATGATCTTTGATTTTTGTGTGTGTGTGTATATATATGTGTGTGTGTGTGTGTGTGTGTGTGTGTATATGTGTGTTTACACAAATAAAAAGAAAACATATATACGTCATACTTTTTTGTGGTACCTGCCTTCCTAAAAACAGTTTTAAAGTGGGTGTTTGTGTTTCCACCAGGCAATAATCCTGATTTCAAGGCTGGTGTCACGGCCCTCGCAAACCTGCTCAAAATTCAGAGACATGATGACTATCTGGTGATGCTCAAGGTGAGTCAGTTAACCTTCCAGGTGCTTTTCCAGACAGAGTCTAACTCCAGCTCTGACCTGATGTGTCTGTCTCATCGTCTAATAGGCCATTAGGATCCTCATCCAAGAACGGCTGACGCCTGAGGCTATCTCAAAAGCTAGCAAGGCTAAGGAGGTCAGTGTAATGAACGTGTGGCTATAGTTGGTGTTATTTGCATGTGTAATAATGTTAACGTAGTTGTTGTTATTGTGACATGCAGTGAGATGCTTCTGTTCTTTTCTCTTCAGGGTTTACCGGTAGCTTTAGACAAGCACATTCTTGGCTTTGACACAGGAGGTATGTTTATTGCGTCTAATTAACCATCTTGGTGGATGATTCGTGTCTGGGTAACTTTAGATTAGGGTCATATTTGACTTACATAGTCATGTTTGAAATAGTTTGCATGCCAGAACACAAATCAGGGACATTAAACTGTTGAGTCATTTTGCGCACCTGATTAAACTCATCAGCTAATTCACAGCCTCTATATGAGTGAACTGGAGAGTTAGAGCAGGTTAAGCTCTAAACTTTGCAGTGTTATGGCCCTCCTTGACCTGAGAATGATGCTCTGTTTCTGGCCACTTTATTGGAAACCCCTCCCTTGCTGGTGTACAGTTAAGCTGCATACAAAACCGCATACTATCACACTAAACAGTGTGATAAAACAGTGTACTGCCTTTAGTAGTGCCTACATTAGGATATTCAGAAACATCAGCCAACTGTGTTTTGCACACTGTGGAATTAGACCTCCACGTTTAACCCATCCGTGCAGTGAAACACCCACACACAAGTAGTGAACACACACACACTGGGGGGCAGTGAGCACATTTGCCCGGAGCGGTGGGCAGCCCTATCCACGGCGCCTGGGGATCAATTGGGGGTTAGGTGCCTTGCTCAAGGGCAATTCAGTCAGGGACTGTTAGCCGAGGGGATCGAACCGGCAACCTTCCGGTCACAGGGCTGGTTCCCTAACCTCCGTTAGTACAGTATGTTTAATACGGCAGTATCTGGTTTTGGTTACAACCTTAGAGACTGTAGCTGATCTGTTGATGTGGTTTGTGTTGGTCATCGTGTGGACCTTCATCAGTGATCAGTTTCTGACCACAGTACTGCTTTTGGATGGATATTTTTGGGTGGCCTTCCTCTCTCAACCTAGCAGTGACACTGAAGTATGTAAAAACTCAATCAGCAGTGCTTTGTCTGATACACTTGCACCAGCACCACACACACTACTGTGTCAGTGTCACTGCTGTGCTGAGAGTGGACCACCGCCCACATAGTATTGGTCAGTGGTGGTTTTGTGGTAGTCCCTTGAATGATGAATAGAGCAGAGGGGGGCTGATGAATTTGTTTTTCATTTATTATTATTCATATTCTTATTCTTGTTTTAATTCTGATTATTTTATTATAATTTTAGTCATTTTATTTAAGAATTTTTCTTCTTTTTTGATCTTATCCTCCTTTTGTTTTATTTATCTTCTTTTGATTTTATTAACTTTTACATTTTAGTTACCCTTTAATTATCGTTTTATATATTCTGTTTTTTGTTTTTTTTATTAATGTTTCCTTTTTTTTACATACTTACCTGATTTGAGTCATTTTTATTATTAAATTTACTTTTATTATTTGATATGTTTCTACATATTATCAATCCCTTTTTCCTGTCTTAAGTTAAATGAGTTTAAATAAATGTTGATTGATTGATAAATTGTGCAGGGCTACAGTCTGTAACTGTACTCTTATGTTGTGGAACTATATGGTTGGTGTTTCTGAGAAAATGGCCAGTGATTGTAGGTACAAGGTAGGTGTTTCCAATAAAGTGGCAACTCTGTGTGAACTCTTAAAGTCCCCAGGGAACCCAAATCTTCTTTCAATGTAAACTAGGAGCCCTAATCTTAGGTAGTGTTCTAGTAAGCAGCTCCCTCAGTCACAGGGCTGATGTGGCTCCTTCCACCTTCACAGCTTTAACAAAACTGTTTCCTCACACTGGCTGTGTTCACAGGCAAAGATTTTCTCCAGTCTGATTGAATACATTCAGTTTATAGATTAAGACTGAGGTGTTTATTCTCACTCTACTCAACAATCTGATGGAAAATCTCTGTTTACATTCACACTACAAGTAATCTGATCCAAACTTAGACGCATACGTAGAGAACCACTTAGTGTAGACGTTACCATGACAACGAGCATCACAGTCAGAGTCCAGTCAGAGTGAGATGAGCAGCAGTGAGCAGTGCTTGTGTTTATAATCACTTTAAAATGATGTCAGACTCAGGAAAACGTCCTTCACATGTCCTTATTAAAGAAGGCCGAGAGGAAGACGTCGTGTTCTGAGACACATAAGCTGGACGTCCGTCCCACCGCCGTCTTTTAAAGATCAGAGCATAAACTTCGTCTCCTCTGCAGACCAGTTTCTGCTCCGCCATGTTGAACGGGATAAACTTTCACTATGACGTGACGAACATGATCAGAACGGACTTAAACTTTCCGATAGGGAATGTAATCAGATACAGGCGTTTACACGGATATTATTCTTCTATTTAACGGATTATTTACAGGATTCCCCACCTCGATCAGTATTCCGAATGGCCTCAATCAGACTCGACTATTCAGACTGAGGTGCTTACATGGACGAATTATTTTCCGGATTAGTCGGATTATTAACGGATTATTTGGCTGCATGTAAACGTGGCTAGTCTTGAGTCATTTGACTCAGAGAAACTTGCAGAGAGAAAGCTAACCACCAAGCAAAAGATAAACTAGCAGGCATAACTGATGTAGCTTGTCTGTCTGCAGGTCGTCCGTTTGTCCATTTGTTTGTTCAGCCAGCCTTGCCAGCATTCCCTGGATGCAGATCCAGCAGTAAAGTGAATGAGAGCCTTTATTAAGACATTGCCATATAAAAGCAGGGTAATGTTTTAGTGAGTGGACACAGTGGTGCCTGCAGCATGTCGCTGCTGTCCGAACAAAAAATGATATCTCCAAAATGGTAACTTTACAGGAGAAGGGAAGAACCTAATTTACTTTTAATGTAAGTCAGTGGAACCAGAATTTTTTCCAAGTAATTTTGGGCCGTTTCTTTTGGTCCATTCATCAGGAAATTTACACATAATGTAAAGAGCAACAGGCATTTTCAGATTATGTCAAAACTGAAAAACGACAAAAATGGAGATATGTGGTTTTGTTCCCACAGCAGCGACATGCAGAGTCCATTTCACTCATTCCTCCATGATTGTTGGGTTTAGTTCTGCGTCAGAGGTTGCAGGATGGACATGTCAGACTGACGGCTGTCAATTATGTGCTCCTTACAATATTAGGTCACACAGACAGTTGTAGCTCTGATGAGCAATTTTTAAGCCATTTTTTATTATATTTCTGTCTTCGTTTTGTTTCACTCAGACTTTACTGGACAATAAATCTAACACGATTCTAGTATCACACAACCATTTTTAATATTTTACAACATTTTTCCTTCTTTTTCATTTTCACCCGTAGATGCCACTCTTAACGAAGCAGCTCAGATCCTTCGGCTCCTGCACATCGAGGAGCTGCGAGAGCTGCAGACGCGGATTAACGAAGCGATCGTGGCCGTCCAGGCCATCATCGCTGACCCCAAGACAGACCACCGCCTGGGAAAGGTGGGCAGATGATCAGCCTCCTGGACCTCTGGCCAGCCTGCAGTGTTTGTGTGTGGGCCGCACCGAAACATCTGGCTGGAATCTTCAATGCTGATTGGATTTTTGTGTTTGGACAAACGTTTAATCACTTGCTGACATGACAGAATGGATACATGAAATTGAACCAGTTTTTTTGTTGCTTAAAAAAAAGACTTTAAAAAAATGTGCATTGGATAAATTGGGGTCACATTTGAGTTTCTTATCGCAAACTTACACTACAATAACAGTCAGTTTGTGAACGATCCTAATGAAAGAAAAGCACTCGATGTTTTCTGTAACTACAACAGAACCGTTCCTTGGAATTGGAGAAATGTCTTTTTGGTCAAAAAAGTACTTTTCGGTTTCAGTCTTGCTTTGTTTTGATCAAAAAAGGAGGGAAAAGATTGCGGTGGTATGTGTGCATGTATGTAAATGAGAATAAATGCAGTGAACAGTTGTGTTCTGTTCTTTAACAGAGATAAGGTAAACGTCTAATAGGCTAATGCTCCGTAAATATGCAGTTATGGTTTCGCAGTAACTCGAGCTGCAGTCTGCAGGGGCCTCAGTCTTGCACAACGTCCGAATCCAGCTGTGCCAAATAGCTCAGTCCGGTTCATTGAGTAAACATCCAACTTCCATGCCAAGATGCTGAGGAATTATATAAATGGGTCATTTTACAAAAATGTCCACTTTTCTATCTCTCCATAGGAGTCACTGGTGATACTGATCCTCACTGGTGTTACACATAATAAAGGAACACCAGAGACATTTTTAATGAACAATGCATTTTACAGAACGGCTGCTACAGAGCATCAAACCACATGTTGTCAGTCATGGAATATCCACTAAAATATGAAATTTAATCCATTTGTATTCTATTTTTTCACAGTGACCTCAGAATAAAGTCGGTCACACCAGTGACTTCAGCTAAAAGCTTCATATGAAATCATGAGCTAAATGAGAAAATCTCTGATAACTGAAAGACACAGTGGACTCACCATGTGCTTTTCTTCATAGATCCTCAGAAAACAGGTAAAAGGAAGTCAAGTGACGTCATCAGTGTGACTTTTATTTCAGAATAAGAGATTTTTGTTATGCGGTAACACCAGTGACACGACTCCTGGGGAACTTTGTCATTTATTTCATATATTTCATAGTCATGTATAGATTATTTCAGTTAAAATTGCAGAAAAACATGTTTTTTACCTCAAAATATGTCACTCACCCTTCACACATGACTGTGGGGACGAGCTCTTCTGTGGTGCTTGGAATTCTAGATAATTGATTTAAAAACCAATATTGCTAAATTGAGGCTCAAGAAGGTGTAATTGTTCAAATAAGTTATTGTTTTAGTTTAAAATGTAAATAAATTGTAACCCTAACATGTTTTTCAAGTGTAACATATCTGTAAATGCAAGGGACACAGAATTGGACATTCCTGTAGAATGACCCAAATAAATAAATAAACCCAAGTCCAAATGTGAATCACATTTTATTGTTATAAATATCACATCTTACAAACAAGATAACAAGGATAAAAAAAAAGACGTGGTAAAAAACATTGGCTATGTCAAATTCTTATTAGTGCATCAAGTGAAATACTGCATTGCTGTGTATTTTACACACATAAACAACATACAGGACTTGTTGCATAACGGCTAGAATTTGGGGCTCTTTGGCTTTATTTTATCAAAAAACACATACAAAAATACAGTAGAAAGAAATGAGGTATAAAACAAATTTACAAAACTAAACTGGGTACAAAAAAGTCACCGTTTTCTTGGAATTTGCAAGTTTGCAGTGGTATTGGTGACGGCCTTTGGGTTGACTGTGAACGTTTCTGTGCTGCGTTGCTGCTGGCTGCCCGAAACGTCCCCAAAAATAGCACCATTTGAGAGCTCTGCTATTACTGCCTCCCTGCAACAGATAATGACATGTTAGGTCAAAGTCAATATTGGAAATCTCTCAGAAATAAACTAAACTGAACTAAATTGTACTAAACTGTCACTGGGTCAGTTCCCCTCTTGTCACTGGAGTGGGACCCTCAAAGCTACATCTCAGTACCTTTAGTCAGGGAACATAACTGAACCATAATCCACTGAAATGATATGTTCTAAGCTGTACTGACTCCACACACCCCGTCTCGTCTCCAGGACTTTATTTTACTGTTCTGTTTAAAACATTCGGTTATGAAAAGGTACAAATACGAACTTTTCACCTGGAAAAACGTATTTAAGGTTCACAACTGGACCTTAAGACCACTGTTGGAGCTTTGAGGGGACATTTACACTGTTTGAACCTTGATGATCAAAAAATGTACCTGAACAGAACCTTTATTTCTAACAGTGTGGAGGAAAAAAAGCTTTATATGGAATATTAGTATAGCTACAAAACACACACTCTCATCTTCTCTGGACGCTCTTCTGGTCTCCAAAGCCCTGAAATGCTTTGAAGTCTTTGTATGAGGCGCTGGTGTTTCGTCACCTCGCTCAGAAATACAGTGATTTGGCTTCAGGTGCCTTCTACTTTTCCCTTTAAAGTGCTTTTAGTTGACAGCCTGTGTTGTTTTAGTCTGTCATTTTCACTCAGTCACACAGCCGTGGTTCTCAAACTGGTCCTCAGGGACCCACAGACGGTCCTCTTTTTTGCTGCACTGCTATGTTAGAGTTGGGATTGGGCAAATGTGAAGGTCCCTGAGGACCAGTTTAAGGACCGCTGACCTAGGAGATTGTCTGCAGTGTCTCACGGTGGTCGGCACTTTTAGGTGAACGCAGGGAGCTGACTCGCATCGACAGCCAAGTTTTCTTTCCTTTTTTTTTGTTAAATTAAGACAAAACAAATGGGTAAATATTATGACGCTGAGCTGAAACTTTATTATTGTCTTGGTTTGTCACAGGATCCCCCCCAGCTTCTTTCTAGTTTAGAACGTTCTGGCTCTGTCCCCTCATCATCCCCATCATCTGTTGGTTGTTGTGCTAATTTGGCTCTGGTTCTGTTCTTGTTTTGTTTCCCATATAATTCCATATAATTGTTTAGTTCTTTTTTACTTTTTGTCTGAGATTTTTGACCTGTTTTTGTTTGTTTATGACTGGTTGGTGGAGATTTACTATCATCAACATTCCACATAAAGCTCAGAAGACTCGTGTAGGTTCACTGGTGGTTTGGATAGTAAATAAAATGTCTATATCTGTGTTGTAGTCATGGTGACCCCTGGTTCCTATCACCACCACTGTAAAGACATCTGAGTCTCTACAATCAACCATTTCACACCAAACCACTCTGAATGACATTGTCTTCTCCCTAACTATCAAATTATGCATTATGCAATTATATTTTGAAAAATTGGTGAAATTCTGTTCTAATACACTTTAATATCACACGATATTAATTTATCAGTCCATTCATCATGAAACGTTCAGACAATGTAAAAGGAAGCTGTGTTTTTAAGTTGGTTAAGCACAACAAACAAAAGAACTAAGAAAAGAAAGAATTCTTCACGTTACGTACCTTATAAACAGCTGGTGGTTGCCACGGTGATGCTGTACAAATGCGACCGCTGATCAGGCAGGTACTCATCTGTGGACTGGCTGGAATCTCGACTTACAGCAATCACTCCATCCCTGGAATAAACATCAGTATTGTAAAATTCGAGCGTGGGGGGCACTGCACTACGGATACAGGTTCAAAAAGTACAGAACTGAGTTTTAACCATTTGACTAATAGATTAAAAAGCCACTCCACCCAGTGTGTTCTGGCACAGGCCTTTGTCAAGTGACTTCTAAAGGCTTTTTAACCTTTTTCTGCAACCATGAAATTTCTAAAAGACTGCTACGGGAATTCAATCTTATAAAAACACTGATTTGTCTTGGTTTACTAACTACTGATCTGAGAGGTAATAAAGAGCTACTGCTGTCTGAAACATAGACCATATCTAAAATTATCCAGACAGCCCTTCTAATAAGTTCCCCTGTTGCTGACACAGGAGTTCAACTGTGTGCACACTCTATAGCATCCACACATGAGCCTAAGGTCACCATGCCCAATGCCAAGTGGGGTCTAGAGGTCTACAATGCTGCTCCACCGCGTTCTCTGGAGTGATGGAGCTCCATCCAGTACCTTTGGGAGGAGTTGGAGCGATCCAGAACTGACCATCCAACATCAGTACCTGACTTCACTAATGCTCAATCAAATCCTCACAGCAATGTTGTAACATTGCCCAGAAGAGTAGAGGCTGTTACTGCAGAAAAAGGGGGGACAAACTCTAAAAGCAAGAACATCTGTTTGAAATTCACCTCCTCCAGTCTGTGTAGTAGAAGTGGTTGCCGTAGAACACCATGCTGAAGGGATAGTTCAGGTTGCTGTGAATGATGCGTCTGCCCGTTCCATCAGGTGCGATGCACTCCAGACGCTTCGTCCCTTTGCATCAAAAAACAAAAAACAACAATTAATTATTAGAATTGTGTTTAGTGTGTACAGGGTTTCTGTTTATTTAAGTACAGTAGTGATGAGTAAAGGAAAGAACCCGACAGAGATTTTGAATAAATATTCCCTTAATCAATAATCAAATAGATTAGAGATTGTAATCAATAATCAAATAGGTAGTTTTGGCTAACAGAGAATATTAATTCTCTCACAAAGGGTCGGCCTTAGTCTGTCTGCATAGGAGATTCTAGACCCTGGGTTCACAGACAGGCCTGTGTGTACCTACTGACCCAGTGAAGAGAGGGGCAAGTTGACCTTGAAAGGTAAAGCAGACTGGAAAAAACCAGCTGAAACCAGTTTTTAGGAGTGAGCGCCACATGCAATGGCCAAATTGATGGACGAAGAGATGCACCAATTAGAGCAGTGGTGGACGAAGTACATAAATCATGTACTTGAGTTAAAGTAGAGACACCCAAGGTAAAATATTACTCCAGTAAAAGTAGAAGTTCCTCCCTTTAGACCTCCACTTGAGTAAAAGTACTAAAGTATTTACCTTCAAATGTACTTAAGTATCGAAAGTAAAAATACTAAAAGATTAATCATGGCTTTAATGTCCTGTTATCATTTTTATAACAAGACTCGCTTCATTAACTCATTTTAGGTGAAAATACTCCAGTGTCTCTCTTGGTAAACCAGTCTTTTAATAGAATGTCATTAATTAGTGACGCTGATGTCTATTAAAATTATCATCAGCACAAAACACTGAAGGCAAACAGTTTCCATCAGGTAGAACTGAGTGGCTCTGAAATCACTTTTTACAAACAAGCAAAGTTTCAGTTTAAGATTTATTTGAACTTAGTTACAAGTTTAAGTTTAATAAAAACTTTAAACTCAGATTCGCAAATGAGTTTCCTTTACTAAACTGCATCTGTAGGTCTCTGTTCATAAACATAAACTAGACAAAACTAATTTACTATAAAATGAAATGTGTTTGTATAAATTCAGAATAAAGACACGTCAGTCACAACTGCATATGTGTACATATTTCTATATTGTGGTCTGTTTACACAGAGTTAGGTTAGTTCATCATTTATGTTGAATAGACTCTCCCAAAATTTTACGCTGCTGCACTGATGTTGAACCGTGTGCTGCACTGGGTCGGTATGACCAACAGGTCAAAACAAGCTCAAAACAAAGTGACCACTGTGCCCTGATTGGTGTTCTTGCTTTGCGCTTCTTTCGTTTTGACATGTTACGTTTTTATGCACACATAAACCAAAAGGAACGACAGATTTCTCATAATGTAGTGGAGTAAAAAGTGAGATATTAGACTTTGAAATGTAGTGGAGTGAAAGGAAAAAGTCGCCCAAAATGGAAAAACTTCAGTACAGATACACGAAAAAACGACCTAAGTACAGAAACGAATTACATTTACTTAGTTACTGTCCACTGTATTAGAAAATAAGCTCATATCAAAATTTGAAGTAAGGCGGGGGGGGGGTGGGGGGGTATCAAACTACCAGATAAATGGTAGATAAACTGTTGTTTGGAAAACTATTTTGCGCAGTTGGGTCTCTCTCTGTGCCACCTGATGATGAAACTAAGAAGAAGCCCTTTTTCCCTCTTTCCACAAGCTCAGCGTCTGGGGACTCTTTCCTTTTTGACATCTTTTCAGAACTTAGACTTAAAACAGTTATTAGTGAAAGTGTTTAGCTGGTATTAAAAGATTTCTTTTTTATTCATCATATTATGTTGGAGGCCTGGGGTTTGAAGGGGACAGCCTTTGGTCTTAACAAACCATAAATCACATTCTAAGTGTGGGTGCAAATGATGTTTAACATACGAAATACAGACTAAAACACAAATACTTACAATAGAAATGCAAACAGACAGAAAAAGTCATAGGTTTTAAACAATGGCTTGGCCAAAGAATACAAAGCACCTAGTTTTTTTCCCCTAAACCATCTGGTCTATCAGCCAAGACATGCTATCTGAATTTTAGACGAAAGTATGTTGCTGGGTACAGCTGAAAACAGCAGTATTAGTCACCACGATGTTTACAGACAACAGTGATTCATACAGTGTCAGAAACCACATAATCAAGTCTGAGAGAACTGAACTGAACTCCACACGGTTTGAGGCGAGGTCAAAGGGCCTGATCAAAGAGCTGTGATGGTAAATGTATGACTCTTATGCTTCAGAAATACCATTTTATAAAACTGGACAAATAAATAAACACAATTCAGACCTCACGGCTATTAGTTTTAGATATGTGACGTCCATTTGTTAGCTACATTAGCCTCTTGGTTTCAGTGCTAATACTAAAGAGGCAAACTTCAGACACCAAACATGTCTTGGCTGATCACCTACATTTGGAGTACGCAGGGAAAACTGTGGTCAGACTATCCTTTTAACCCTTGTGTGGTGTTGATGTGTTTGTTACTCAGTGGTCTGGTGGACCCACCATATTATTGTTTTTTTTAAATCAATACAGCCATAACAATTTATGTAAAAATACCAGATGTTTAAAATATCACAAGTGTCCAGCGTAGGGTTCTCCTTTAGCAGCTGTAGCCAGTCAGCAGCCTGTCCATGTTGTCCACCCTCACACACACACACACACACACACACACACACTAACAGCAGGCCATGTAGGAGGAGAACAGAGTGAAGGACACAGCACCTCCACACTTTTACTCCCCGCAGGTTCACCCAACACCACATGTGTAATATAAATGTGTGGGGGGTGAACAGAGTGAAGACACTGAAAATGGGTTATTTTATATGTTCTTCACAGAAAATGAGCAAAGGACAAGAATCTGAGGTTTAAATAATAATAAATTGCATCATTTTTCTTTTGGTAAACATTGAAAATGGGTCCCCCAGACCTGAACACCACTGTAGGAAAATGAGGTTCGTACCTGCATCAGCCCAGCACACTCTGCGTGTGGTGGAGTCGAAGGTCAGAGCGTTGGGCAGGCCGATGCCATCCTGGACCAGAACCCTCCTGTTGTGGCCGTCCACAGTAGAGCTCTCGATTTTGGGGGCTTCTCGGTTCCAGTCGGTCCAGTATAGAGCTCTGTAAAGGAAAACACACAGAGGGTCAGAGTGCTTGGTGTAGATACAACACAGTGCTGTTGGTTTGTTTTCATTCTTGGTCAAGAATTAAAAGATCAAATACTGTTTTCTGATTATCCTGATATCTCTATTAGAATAATATTTGGTTTAAAGAGGTTTAGATTGTACTTTAACCTACATTAACCTTTAATTTTAAAAGGTTTACATTTTTATAATTATAAAGAGGTACGATACAGTAACTTTATACTTAAACGCTGTCTGCTTTATAATTTTTAACCATGTGAAGGGAAGAGAGAGTCACTGGTCAGCGCGCATGTGGAACCGAGAGCAGCTCCCAGGCTGAAGTTAGATCTTAATAGCAGCTTTGCATGATTGCAGGTATGATTAAGCGTCGCTTTTATACAGTCTGAGGTTTAAATACACAACTCATACGGCAGACATAAACTCAGATGGACGCTTAATAAGAACAAGCACCACACAAACACACAAACACATGTAAACAGGGAGAGTTGTAACTATTTTGATTGCTCATGAGGTTTGTGTTACATGCCTCCACCCCACACACACACACACACACACACACACACACACACACACACACACACACACAGGCTGTGTGGTTCCGCCAGATGTTTGTTGGCTCTGCACGTGTGGTTTCTGGCCCACACGCTGCTGCACCCCCCCCTCCCGACCATCATCCCCCCAAGCCCAAAGGGCCACGCAAAGCCTATGAAGCAACACACACATCTGGACCAATCTGCAGACTCATTCTCTCATTTTCTCATGCACTCCCTCACTCACTCCCTCTCTCTCTCTCCCTCTCTCTCTTTCTATGTCCATCCTCGCTCTCTCAAACACATACATACGTGTGGTTTCTCACTGGGACATGGTGGGAGACTGTGGGGACGTTAGTGCAGGTCTGCTCTCACTGTCATAGACGACAGAAATGGAATCATAACACGGGCTGACTGATAAAAATCTGTTCGAAGTACTTCTGCAGTGGGGCCCAAAAGTCTGAGATAAACACTGGAAATCTGGGATTTCTTCATTTAAATCTGCAAATAAACAACTAAAAGTTTTAGAGTTAAACAAAGTAAAAGTCATGACAATTAAAATGAAGAAGAAATGGTCTCAATTCTGCACTCTTTTTAGGTCACTATTCAAACTGAAGCATATTTGGTTGGTCAAAGGTCAGTTTTTTAAGTCTGATCTCTTCCAGCGAAGCTCCGGTTCAGACGACTCTCGGGCAGATTTGATCTACTGATCAGAGACTTTTGCACATGCTTATGGAGTCCATGCAGATTCAGTGCACGCTGCCGTTAAAGCAAGAGAGGAACACACCACCAAATAGTAAGAAATTCTAAAATTCAAAGATTCTACTTTTCACTCAAATCGTTATGCTGACAATATCATTTGTAATGTAAATCAGAAGCAGTGTCACCAGTGTTCTCAGACTTTTGGACCCCACCATCGTTTCCAAGGTTACGGTACAGCTATTTCCTTGGTAATGCTGCAGCCACTTCAATTACTATGGTTCATTTTCTCCTCAGTTATACTGTGTCCTCTTACTTCCTGATGCTACAATAATTTTCATAGCTACAGTACAGTCGTTTCCATAGTTACGGCACTTCAATTTCCATGGTTACTCTACACTCACTTCCACTTATATGCTATAGCTGTTTCTACGGATACGCTACATCCACTTCCATTGTTACGCTACAATAATGTCCATGGTTACACTGCACTCATTTTTTATGGTTTCACTAAAATCATTTCCATGGTTGCGCAATACCCACTACCACTGTTATGCTACAGTCATTTTCATGGTTACACTACACTCGTTTCCATGGTTACGCTACAGTCTTTCCTATGGTTACACTACACTCATTTCCATGGTTACGCTACAGTCATTCCTATGGTTAAACTACACTCATTTCCAGGGTTACGCTACAGTCCTTTCCATGGTTCTGCTACAGTCTTTCTTGTGGTTATGCTACAGTCCTTTCCATGGTTACGGTACAGTCTTTCCCATAGTTACACTGCACTCATTTCCATGGTTACACTATACCCATTTCCATTGTTACGTTACAATATTTCCCATGGTTACACTAGACTCATTTCCATGGTTACGCTACAGTCTTTCCCATGGTTATGCTACAGTCTTTCCCATAGTTACACTACACTCATTTCCATGGTTACACTATACCCATTTCCATGGTTACACTACAATCTTTCCCAAGGTTACACTAGACTCATTTCCATGGTTACGCTACAGTATTTTCCATGGTTACACTTCACTCATTTAAATGGTTACGCTACAGTCTTCCTCTCAGTTACACTACACCCACTACCATGCTTAAGCTACAGCTGTTTCCATGGTCACAATATATCCATATACATGTTTACATTACACTCATGTCCACAGTTTTGCTACAATCATTACCATGTTTAAGTTATTTACTAGTAGTGAGAAAAACTGCCCCATCATTGGCTGAATGAAGGTGAGGAGGCAGCTTGTAGATGAATTTGTTTGAAATATTAAAAACTGAAGCAGAAAAAGAAGAAAGATGATTACTACATAAATAGTGAATTGGGGTGACTCGCTGCCGTTAACATTAACATAAGCTGCTACCATTCAGTGGCTACACTGAACAGTAATCTAGCTCTTACAGCCAAAGTTAACTAAGACCTAATCATTTTTAGCCAATATTAAATGTTTAATTATATTTAGAAAGTATATTATTTAGTATTATTGATAGTAATTTATTTTTTATAGCTTTTGCTAATTTTCGTACGCAAGAGTGAGGTGCGCACACACATAGGCACTCTCTCTCCGACTCTCTCACTCTCTCCATGATTGAACACAGAGCAGATCCGTATCTCTGCACTCCATCATCACCAGCAGGAAACTGCTGAAGGACAGGAAATGAGGCTGATTTAAAGTGGCCAATTAAAGCAATTAATTAATGGAGGATGTCTCTGTCTTACGTTATAGCAGATGCTCTTACCAACTGTACATCAGTGTGTTTTGTCCACACAGTGTTACTGACATAGTTGCTGTGTGTCTTTGTTGCTCTTCCAAACCAGAATTAAAAACTGTTACGCTCTGTTTACAGTCAGTTGCAGATGGGAACACCAAGTTACATACAGAGTCCAAAAGTCTGAGAGCACTGGTGAAAATGCTTCTGTTTTGCTTTCCTTTCTCATTTAATAGAAGGTTTTTCATTGCAAATGATATTAGCAGTTTAACAGTCTGAGTGAAAAGCAGAATCTCTGAATGTTTACATGAACTTCAGAATTTCCTAGTATTTGGTGGTGTCTCCCTTTCGCTTTAATGACAGTGACAATCCAAAAGTTGGGGCAAAATTTTCTGATCAGTAGATCAAATCCACTTGAGAGTTGTCTAAACTTCAGCTTCAATAGTGACCTAGAAATACTGCAGAATTTCAAATATTCCTTCTTCATTTTATTTATCACAACTTTTCTGTTTTATTTTTTGCAAAACTCCTTTTTCAAATTTTTTTGTTTAGTTTCAGATTTACATTAAGAAATCCCTGATTTTCTGTGTGAGGCCTCAGACTTTTGGACTCTATGTATATAAAACAGTCAGTGAACTCAAGACACAGCAGTTAAACCGCATACCCTGAGGGGGAGTCCACAATGATGGCTCTCGGATTCACTAAATTCGTGTCAAACAGAATCCGGCGGTCACTTCCGTCCAGGTTTGCAGTTTCAATCTTGTCCAGTGTGCTGTCCACCCAGAATAGCCTCCTGCGTGCCTCATCCACAGCCAAACCCTCAGGACTCATCAGGCCTGAAAAGCAGCAGACTTTCCTTAGAGACTATCCTCATGTGTGAGATGGAAGCAACAAAATTGTTTTATATTATGGAAAACAAACTTTTAAACAGCAGCGTAAGATCATATCATAACTCTGAGCTGAAGTATTTGTGTGTGTTTGAGCAGATTTCATTTGACTAGGAGTGAACTGTGTTGACTGTAGCTGTGTTATCTGTGTTAGCTGTAGCTCAGGGGTGTCCATAGTCCAGAGCTGGATTATTCATATTATCTTTTGGCTGTAGTTGTGTTAACTGTGTTGGCTGTATCTGTGTTGGCTGGATTATCCATATTATCGATTGGCTGTAGTTGTGTTAACTGTGTTGGCTGTGTCTGTGTTGGCTGGATTATCCATATTTTTTATTAGCTGTAGCTGTATTAGCTGTAGCTGTATTAGCTGTGTTGGCTGTGTCTGTGTTGGCTGGATTATCCATATTATTTATTAGCTGTAGCTGTATTAGCTGTAGCTGTATTAGCTGTGTTGGCTGTATCTGTGTTGGCTGGATTAACCATATTATCGATTGGCTGTAGCTGTATTAGCTGTGTTGGCTGTAGCTGTATTAGCTGTGTTGGCTGTGTCTGTGTTGGCTGGATTATCCATATTATTTATTAGCTGTAGCTGTATTAGCTGTAGCTGTATTAGCTGTGTTGGCTGTATCTGTGTTGGCTGGATTAACCATATTATCGATTGGCTGTAGTTGTATTAGCTGTGTTGGCTGTAGCTGTATTAGCTGTGTTGGCTGTAGCTGTATTATCTGTGTTGGCTGGATTATCCATATTATCTTTCGGCTGTAGTTGTGTTAACTGTGTTGGCTGTGTCTGTGTTGGCTGGATTATCCATATTATCGATTGGCTGTAGCTGTATTAGCTGTGTTGGCTGTAGCTGTGTTGGCTGGATTATCCATATTATCGATTAGCTGTAGCTGTATTAGCTGTGTTGGCTGTGTCTGTGTTGGCTGGATTATCCATATTATCGATTGGCTGTAGCTGTATTAGCTGTGTTGGCTGTAGCTGTATTAGCTGTGTTGGCTGTATCTGTGTTGGCTAGATTATCCATATTATCTATTGGCTGTAGCTGTATTAGCTGTGTTGGCTGTAGCTGTATTAGCTGTGTTGGCTGGATTATCCATATTATCTGTTGGCTGTAGCTGTATTAGCTGTGTTGGCTGTAGCTGTATTAGCTGTGTTGGCTGGATTATCCATATTATCTGTTGGCTGTAGCTGTATTATCTGTGTTGGCTGGATTATCCGTATTATCCGTACAGCTGTGTCAGCTGTAGCTGTATGAGCATATTTTTAAGACAGATGGAAATCAGAATGCTTCTTCACCGAGCGCCATGCAAATGCATGTGCATTATATGTCAAAAGACTGTAATGAATTTAATACCAAATGGCATCATGAATCAAACATTACTAAAGCAGCTGGACTGAATTTTATTGGACCAAATTCAGTATAAATGTTCATTGCTCTGTACTTCCATGCTTAAAATTTCGAATCATTTCTGAATAAGTATGAATAAAATGTTGGCAAAGCCAAAGTCCCTTAGGTAGTTTGATACGGTCCATTCTGGCCACCTTTGATAAAAGTTTGGGCACCCCTGCTGTAGCTGTTTTAGCTGCAGCTGTGTTACCAGTGGTATGTGTAGTGAGTTACCATTGTTGATAAGGATCTCGGGCTCCGCTCCCGGCTCCAGAGCCGCTCTGCTGATCGTTCTTCCAGCCAAATCCGTCCAGTACACCTTCCTCTCTCTGCAGTCGTAGTCAATACCGACCACTATGGAGCCCTATCAGAATCACAACCTTAATCAGTCTATGAATGAAAACAAAGAGTCAACAGTGCTCTCTCTACATCTTGTGTAACCTGCGTTTGGCACAAATGGACTGAAAATGAAGAGTTTAAAGGTTTAGCATGGCCATTACCACTGCTTCTAGTTGTTCAACATACTTTTGTCCATGTTATTAGAAAACAGTATGTGATACGGTGTCAGAAACCACATAATCTAGTCTATTAGACATTACTTAACACAGTTTGATGTAACTTGTTTCCTCACTTGTCAGAGATGCATTAGCCTCATAGCTACAATGCACAAACATGTCTTGGCTGATGGGCTACATTTGGAGAAAGGGGGGAAACTGGGTAATTGTTTTTTCACCAAACTTTCACTTTAAGGCTTGAATTTATGGATTTGCATGTCCTGTGTGTTGAACAAACAGAGGCATTTCTGACCACTTGAATTCAAAATCTTTGCGACAGTGAAAAAGTGTGAGGATCTCACATGCAGAGCTAGAAGTACGGAGGATCTCTCCTTGTCCATCCGTGTCCCATTGAGAGGCAGAGCCCCGATCTTCTGGCCTTGAGCATAGAGCAGGGAGGTGCCGGAGGGGGGCGGAGTCACATCAGGGCGTGGCAAAGGATGCCTGGTAGGAGGGGTAACCGTGGGTATACCTACAGGAGATAGTCAAAACAGGAGAACAGTCTTATTGTGAAGAGGCACTGGATAAAGTATTTGGACTCTCATCTAAGGACGCAGCCTAATGACGCAGCTAAATGCTCAGGTGAGATTTTCGAGCCAATAATCTTCCGTTTACAAGCCAACCACAAATCACTACTTAAAACTGGGTTATAGCTCCCTTCAAGCATCTCTTCTCAGAGCATCACATTAAAAAATCACATTAAAAATGACAATAACAAAGAACCTGGTCTGTCAGGTTACTGGGGCCCCTTGATGCTCTTCAAAATAACAGACCCAGATTCTAAACAACGGCAGAGATCATATAAAATACAATTACCGTACATCCTGTCTAGGAGGCCACTGTTTTTGGGTGACACAGACTTCTATTATATCAGGCTGACAGCGTAAAACTAAAGAAGCACCAGACACGTCGAAGCTGATCGACTACATCTGTGCTCAGAAGAAGAGGATCTGATGTTTTGGTGAACCATCCCTTGAACAGAACATCACATTTTCTGCTCCAGCACTGAACAATCCAGTTATATTACAACTCACAAATCAAAAACGACTATTAACCCTTTTACTCTACAGGAAAGCCCTCCGCAGCACCACACACAGTCAAATAGTAAGGGTGTAACAATTACAGCACTTAAGAATTGCAGGAAAACAAATGAAACAGTCTATGATGAACTGATACTGATAACTGTGTTGATGATGCATCTTTTGTCGAAACCACAAAATGTGTAAAAATGTTAACTAGTGATTTGATCGTGGCTGAACTTCACACTGTAAAAAGTAGAAGAATCGCTCATTCAATCTCATTCAGAGTATTTATTTGAGATGGACTTGAATAAAAGCAGTTAAAGGGCCCACATTGACTTTTTTCTCATATTTTATTTCATATATTACAAGTTTACTTGTAATATCTGTGTGGTTTTATGTGCGAAAAACTATTTCCAACCCATTTTACTTACAATTAAACAGGCATATAAATAAACTTAGCAAAACATCTGAATTTGAAAATTAAAAGTAACTTTCGCCCTTCACTTCAAATGTAGTTGATCAGTGAAGACAAGTATTGGGGTCTCAAATGTTCTTCTATAGTTTTGCAGCTGGAGCTTGCAGCTGGAAGCCACATAAGCAAGTTATTGGAGATTACTCAACGGGCCCACATCCTACATTTTTCTTTTCCTCACAAAGTCCACTCATGACGCTTGTCTGTTTACATACCAAAAACATTCATTTTTACAAAACTACTGTCCCTTAGAATTATATAGGCTCTCTTTGTTACAGTGATATGCAAATGAGATATGTTCTGATTGGCTTCCTTGTATTGTGCCTGGTTCAAAATAGCAGTCTGGACTGAAACGCTCCTTATAACTTCAGAGTGAATGGCCGGGGCTAAAGTACTATAGGCTGAACAGGCAGATACATGTAAATGCTCAGGTTTTTTGTGACATCATGAAAACAATGAATTCTAAAGGGGCTGTTTTTGTAGTTTCATTTCCATCCACCGATCAGGCATAACATTATGACCACCTCCTTGTTTCTACGCTCACTGTCCATTTTATCAGCTTCAGCCAATCGGCAGTGACACTGAGGTGTTTAAAAACTCCAGCAGCACTGCTGTGTCGGATCCACTCAGACCAGCGCAACACACACTAACACACCACCACCACGTCAGTGTTACTGCAGTGCTGAGAATGATCCACCACCCAAATAGTACCTGCTCTGTGAGGGTCCATGGGGGTCCTGACCACTGAAGAACAGGGTAAAAGGGGGCTAACAAAGTATGCAGAGAAACAGATGGACTACAGTCTGTAACTGTAGAACTACAAAGTGCACCTATATAGTAAGTGGAGCTGATAAAATGGACAATGAGCGTAGAAACAAGGAGGTGGTCATAATGTTATGCCTGATCGGTGTATATGGACTGTATGGATGAATATGGGATGTTGCCTACTCAATTCAATTTTTATGATAAAAAAAAAGAAAACAAAACGAAGAAAGTTTGACTTTCCATAATAATGGCCATTTAACAACTCAACACATTTGAGGCAAATGAGTGATGATACAGGCATGCAGCTGCCATGATGATAATTGGTGGGGTACAGGCTTCCATCATTTCTTAGATATATTAGTGGCTCCAGTGCTGAAATACGAAGCACACTAACCATGCCTGCTGATGGACTGTATTTGGGGTAAAGGGAGAAAAATGGGTACATGTGATTTTTTTTGAGCTAGAATCAAGGAGGAATCACACTGAGGACTTTCTTGCAATACACTTCTATTATGTTAAGCTCTACTCACAGGCAGGTTTGATGGCGTCGTTCGAGCGAGTCCCGGGCACTTCTCGGCCGTCCTGGTCCACACACCAGCAGTAGCTGCTGTCTCCATAACACTGCACCGGGTTAAACTCTCCAGCAGAGTCGCACTGGGGCAGGTACTGCTGAGGACTCGGCTGACCCCCGTAATGCTCCATCAGACTCGCTCTCCAGCGCTCACACACCGTTTCTGGACGTGGGGGGGGCCGGGGCTCCACTGCAGGATGATGAAAACATGAGCATTATTAGCCTGATCCACTGCCACATCAACAGTCTAGTAAATGGGTAGTTGATGTGGTGGCCTTATGATTACTATCAAGTCAGCTGGTCTTTTATTTCTGTTAACTAGTGCCTCTTGCTTATAGTCCAGGCCTCAGAGGATACAGTTCACAATACAGTGGGCTAACACTGGAAAATTTAGCTATGTGAAGGTAATAGATTTCTATATATTTTTAAAAATATTTGTGAAGTTTGTAGTATATTTCCATTTGACAGACATGTAAATATTAAAAATGTTCACTTATACATATATTTTGTTGACATATGTGCATATATTTCAATATATTGACATATACGTGCATAAAACGCCTTACAAAAAAGATATATTTATATATCACTGCTGTTATTACAGGCATTATATGCATGTATATATGTATTATATGCATATATTTCCATTTTCATGTATATATAAAATACAGATTTTTACTTGTAAGTCAAAGTAATATTGATCATGAAATTTGAACACAATGTAAAGAGCAGCTGGCTTATTTAAATTATGCAAAAAAAAAAGAAAAAGATTTTGTTATGCCAGTGATGATATATTACCAATGAATAAATAAATGAAATAAATTAAGAACTGTTATACATTACAGCCAATGAAATCAAAACGTGACCAAAAATGGGACCAACTGTATATTATACAGAGGTGGTATACTAGCATAAGCAGTGCTTCCAAGAGGAAAGCAAAGAACGAAAATAAAGGAAAGAAAGTGGGGGTCTCCAAAGACACTCTGTCCCTGCTCAGTGAGGCCCAAACTTAAATGTAGTTATGTTATAACTGAAGTTTGGGGGGAGGAACATGCCCGAAACCCCTCCTTCTTCCAGTCTACCGCCCTATAAATTCACATCATCACCTTCCGTTACCATGACGAAGTGCTGGCAATCCCCACCGCCACCTCATCTCCTCCCTGGATTCACAAAATGAATTTAAACTTAAACCTCCAAATTTGAACATATCGCTGCTGTCGGAGCAAAACCTTGTATCTCCAAAACGGTAACTTTACAGGAGAAGGAAAAAACATACCTTACTTTTAATGTAAGTCAATGGAACCAGAATTTTTACAAGTAATTTTGGGCCGTTTCTTTTGGTCCATTCATCATGAAATTTACACACAATATAAAGAGCAACAGGCATTTTCAAAATAAGGCCAAAAACTGAAAAACGACAAAAACGGACATATGACAGTTTGCTCCGACAGGAGCGTTGTACTCCTCCTCCATCTCAGTCTAAATCATCTCCTCTTTATAGAAACTCCTCAGAGTAACCTCCATCCACCTTTCGTCTAATCAAAGTAAGATCCTCTCCCTCCTACATCAGCTCCACATACAGACAGGCTGATCAAATCTGTAAGCAGATGTAACTAAAGTCTCTCCTCCATTCAGTCAGTCATTCTTCCATTGCATGACCCATTTGTCGTCCATCTGGAAGCTTAGTAATGTGTTCCACCCTCTCTTGGCTGTAGTCCTGAGTCAGGCAGGCTAAAGTAAGAAGGCATTTCTGAAGCTGGTGAGAAATGCACACACTGACCAATGTGCGGACTTGGAGAGTCTGGGACGGAGTACCGAGCCACCATATAATCTCCTCCAACTCCACCTGCAACAGGCTCTTTATAATCTAAAGCAATTACTCAGAGAAGATGAGAAGCTAATTAGATAATTAGCATATTCAGAGCCATGCCTGTGATCTAAACCTTAAGACTAGTTTCAGGAATCAGCCTCTGTACTGATTCTGACCTGTGAAAAAGTACAAATGAATTAGAGTGCTTTGTAAAAATCTTACTTACTTAAAGTGGAAGTACAGAGCCAAAGATAAACTTTAGGGAAATTTAACAAAAAACGAAGACTCTGTCTCTGGTCCTGTTAAGCTTGATTCATTGGCAGTGGTGGACGAAGTACACGAACCATGTCCTTGAGTTAAAGTAGAGCCACCCAAGGTAAAATATTACTCCAGTAAAAGTAGAAGTTCCTCCCTTTAGACCTCCACTTGAGTAAAAGCACAAAAGTATTTGCCTTCAAATGTACTTAAGTATCAAAAGTAAAAGTACTAAAAGATTAATTATGGCTTTGATGTCCTGTTATCATTTTTGTAACCAGACTGTTGCTTTATCAACTCAGTTTAGGTGAAAATACTCCAGTGTCTCTCTTGGTAAACCAGTCTTTTAATAGAGTCATTAATTAGTGACGCTGATGTCTATTAAAATTATCAAAAGCACAAAACACTGAAGGCAAACAGTTTCCATCAGGTAGAACTGAGTGGCTCTGAAATCTGCAAAGAAGCAAAGTTTCAGTTTAAGATTTATTTGAACTTAGTTACAAGTTTAAGTTTAATAAAAACTTTAAACTCAGATTCACAAATGAGTTTCCTTTACTAAACTGCATCTGTAGGTCTCTGTTCATAAACATAAACTAGCCTAAACTAATTTACTCTAAAATGAAATGTGTTTGTATGAATTCAGAAAAAAGACACGTCAGTCACAACTGCATATGAGTACATATTTCTATATTGTGGTCTATTTACACAAAGTTAGGTTAGTTCATCATTTATGTTGAATAGACTCTCCCAAAATTTTACGCTGCTGCACTGATGTTGAACCGTGTGCTGCACTGGGTCGGTATGACCAACAGGTCAAAACAAGCTCAAAACAAAGTGACCGCTGTGCCCTGATTGGTGTTCTTCCTTTGTGCTTCTTTCATTTTGACATGTTATGTTTTTATGCACACATAAACCAAAAGGAACGACAGATTTCTCATAATGTAGTGGAGTAAAAAGTGAGATATCTGACTCTGAAATGTAGTGGAGTGAAAGTAAAAAGTCGCCCAAAATGGAAAAACTTCAGTACAGATACACAAAAAAACTACTTAAGTACAGAAACGAATCACATTTACTTCGTTACTGTCCACCACTGTTCATTGGATCATATAATTTAAAACACAAAATTATCGTTTTCCCATAATCTTTCATCAAAATCTGACGACTTTTGCGTCATTCCTAAAACTTTTGATTGGGTTTACATCACTGTACATGCGTTTCACTCAAAAATGCATCATGATTTGTCACTCATGCTAACTGTGAGTGGGAGAAATGCAGTTTTTCTTCCTGTGAAGCTACAGATGTGGACCATTTCCTTCCCTTATCAAACTACATTTGCAGCTGTCCTGCCTGCTGTAGTTCTTTCTCCATTGATTTGGGTCTAAGGATGGAGCTATAATACTTGATGTTACTGTCAAAAATGACAAAATGATCAAAAAGCAAAAGCAGTCCTTAAAGCAGACCAGTCACACTGTCCAACAGCCTTGATGATTTCCGTCCCTCTCATTAAACATTCCAAACAAAAATCAAAACATTTTGCAGAATAGTTTGAAAGATATCAAGCTTTTTTATTCGAGAACCTATAAAGTTGGTTCCTAAATGTCCCCAGAGTTCACCTGGGCGGGTACAGCTGGTAAGGGTGTGGCTATATCAGCACTGCCTGGCATGACCACCCCTTCATTTACACGGGTCATTTATTTTTGAAACGTCATGAAAATCTACGATTTCTGTGGATTTAACAAACGCCTTATAAGTAGCTGACCGTTTACAAGTTGCTGCTGTTATAAATAACCAAAACTGCATTTGTAATGAGAGGCAAAACACTTGAAGCCAGAAGATTTCAGGAATGATTTAAAGTTTGGGCTTTTGAACACCATTGAAATCCAGACTGAACTCTTTCCGTGGACACTCTGCAGAAACAGAGAACCTGAGCTGAAGTGGGCCGTCTGTAATAACTAGAGCTAACACACCTTTATCTGCTGGAAACACAGCTTGTTTGCAAAGATTACAAAATGTGCTCTGCTCTGCAGAGTTAGCTGAAATATTCTGAGGAAGGTTTTTCATTCATAAGTGTGTTCTCCTCTTGTTGCCGTTGTCTCTCTCCTGTCACTTCCAACGTGAACTTATTTTTAAAATAACATGGTTTTCTGGAATCAGCTCTGAGGACGTAAACACGATTCTACCACTGAAGGTGCAGTAGTGGACAGGTGTGAACGCACAGATTCACACAGAGTTTGAAGGGGTTTAGTGAGTAAACTGGACAGTCAAGATTCTAAAAAAAACATGGTAAAAAATGTCACTGGTGTGTTTTTTCTTCACTTCTTACCAATGAAAAGCCTCAAAGGCACAATGCAGCACCAACTAACACTAAAAAAACAGCCAATATGACAGTTTCCTGTATGTCCCTGTATGTCTAAAATCACCTTTATGGCTTTTAAAACTCTTTATCTTCACTGAATTTTAACTGGTTTTTAATAGCAACTGTTGCAAGACTTGATACACTTTAGTGAATGTGGGAAAAATCCAGGGTGTGTTTACCTGGAGCATCGCAGTCGGTAGTTGGGCTCCCAGGTGGGGTTCGGGTGCCCACTCTCTCCTGTCCCCTGCTGTCCACACACCAGCAGTGCCCAGTGGAGCCGTGGCACTGTAGCGGCCGGTACCGGCCCTCCTCATCGCACTGAGGGACGAAGGCTCCAACCAGGGGGACACCACCCGATCCGCTCCTCAGGCTGTCTCTGTGCTGCTCACACTGAGTCTTAGGACGCTCGGGATGAACTGAATAATATATATATAATAATTAATGACTTTTGCTCCCCTGTCTATGTCTAAAATCACCTTCCTCACTTTATGGCTTTTAAAACTCAGTGCGTTCCAAAGCCTAGGCTGCATTTCTTGGCCGCTACATCATAGCAGGCTGTTCCAAAGTGAAGGACCTTTTGTATACAGCCTAGAAATGCAGCCTACGTTCGGAGTGATTTTGCAGACGCAACTGATGTATCCTTCCAGGCCTTCCGTTACCCACATTCCTCTGCGCACGAACGACACAAAGGGGAAAAAACAGCACCAGAGCAGAGCTTGTTTTAAAATGTAAGTTGTTCACGTCCTTCAATTCGTCTTCATGACCTTATGAAGTGTAAAATGATCCATATATTGTATATATTGCATAAAATACATATATTGTATTTTGATCAGACGTATTTACATACTTTATCGAACTACTATCGAGCTACCATAGCAAAAAACACAATGCAATGGGCTCCATTCTCTCTCTCCAGGTCCCTCACAAGTTTCACGCTGCAATTGCGAGAGGCGGGACCTTTCTGGTGACGTCACCACGCAGCCTCGTTAGGACTGTTCCATTTGTGTGACCAACAGGCTACTAAGGAGGAGTCTTCATAGGACAGTCCTACCGAGGACCCGCCCTACCTTGGCTGCAGCCCAGGCTTTGGAACGCAGCTACTTCACTGAATTTGAACTGTTCTTTCTTAGCTCCCTTGTTGCACAAATAGATGCACTTTAGAATGTGGGAAAAAATCCAGGGTGTGTTTACCTGGAGCATCGCAGTTGGTGGGTGGGCTCCCAGGTGGAGTTCGGGTGCCCGCTCTCTCCTGGCCCCTGCTGTCCACACACCAGCAGTGTCCAGTGGAGCCGTGGCACTGCAGCGGCCGGTACCGGCCCTCCTCATCACACTCAGGGACGAAGGCTCCAACCTGGTGGACACCACCCGGTCTGCTCTGCAGGCTGTCTCTGTGCTGCTCACACTGAGTCTTAGGACGCTCGGGATGAACTGAGAGAGAGAGAGAGAGAGGGAGAGAGAGAGAGAGAGAGAGAGAGAAAGAGAATAGAAAAGTGATGTTACTAGAATTACACACACATATTCCCACCCTCACGCTCTCTCTGGGACAGGGGCTCCCTCCCTTACATACCTTTATACGTTCATGAGTGTTCAAAACACTTCAAGCCAGAAGATTTCAAGAACGATTTAAAGTTTGGACTTTTAAACAGCATTAAAATCCAGACTGAACTCTTTCAGTGGACACTCTGCAGAAACAGAGAGCCCGAGCTGAAGTGGGCCGTCTGTGATAACTGAGCCAACTCTGCTTCATCTTTTCGCAATCTTTTCTGTTGAAGGTGTGTAGTGGACGGTTGTGGATGCACAGATTCTGTTGTGTGTGAGTTTAAAGGGGTTGAGCATTTAAATTGAAGAGTCATACTGCCGAAAAAAACATGGTCAAAAATGTCACTGGTGTGTTTTTTCTTCACTTCTTCACTTCTTACCAATAAAAAAACATGTTTTTCAAACCTCTGGCGTGATGCAGCACCAACTGATGCTAAAACTAGCCAAACGTGACTCTTTCCCTTTAATGCATGTCTGAAATCACCTTTAACTGTTCACTTATAGCTACTGTCGCAAGACTGGATACACTTTATAGAACGTGGGAAAAAATACAGGGTGTGTTTACCTGGAGCATCGCAGTTGGCAGGTGGGCTCCCAGGTGGGGTTCGAGTGCCCGCTCTCTCCTGGCCCCTGCTGTCCACACACCAGCAGTGTCCAGTGGAGCCGTGGCACTGCTGCGGCCGGTACCGACCCTCATCATCACACTGAGGAATGAACGCTCCAACCAGGTGGACACCACCCGATCCGCTCTGCAGGCTGTCTCTGTGCTGCTCACACTGAGTCTTAGGACGCTCGGGATGAACTGAGAGAGAGAGGAGAGAGAGAGAGAGAGAGAGAGAGAGAGAGTAGAGTGATGATTAGAATCACCAGGTAGGGCTACAACAGATTCTAATTAGGGAGAGAGAGAGAGAGAGGGGGAGAGAGAGAGATCAGATTTATACATTTGGTAGAGCTTCAAACAGCATTCTTTTGTTAAATGTAGGGTTTGGAACATAAACTGAGTCTGTTCCACAGTTTCTTATTAGGTTTAATAGGATTTTTATTAGCTTATCCAATCGGACACCAGTAGCTATTTGTGGGGGAAGCATGGAGAGGTCAACTGTATTTTACGGCTAAAATAAAACCAAAGTAGCTTAATTCCAGAGAACTGGTCAGTATCAGCTGTTTATCTACACATCATCTATGTCATCGGTGGGCAACACAACACAGAAAACCAAACAGCAACTACAGGGACTGATTTTTTTCTTGGCTGCAGGTGAGATATCACATGGAATCACTTGGTCTTGCTGAGCCGCCCATGCTGTGGGAGAGAGAGTATATCTGTGTCTCTTTTAAAGAGAGTTGGATCTCGTCAGGCTCTGACAGTTATGTTAGTTGAGCATGTGGAGTAATCCCACCCTCACGCTCTCTCTGGGACAGGGGCTCCCTCCCTCACTTTACACCTTTATACATTCATGAGTGTTCAAAACACTTCAAGCCAGAAGATTTCAAGGATTTAAAATGTGGACTTTTAAACATCATTAAAATCCAGACTGAACTCTTTCAGTGGACACTCTGCAGAAACAGAGAACCCGAGCTGAAGTGGGCCGTCTGTGATGACTGAGCCAACACGGCTTCATCTTTTCGCAATCTTTTCTGTTGAAGGTGTGTAGTGGACGGTTGTGGATGCACAGATTCTGTTGTGTGTGAGTTTAAAGGGGTTGAGCGTTTAAATTGAAGAGTCATGATAGAAAAAAAAACCTGGTCAAAAATGTCAATGGTGTGTTTTTTCTTCACTTCTTCACTTCTTACCAATAAAAAACATGTTTTTTCAAACCTCTGGCGCGATGCAGCACCAACTGACACTAAAACTAGCCAAACGTGACTCTTTCCCTTTAATGTATGTCTGAAATCACCTTTAACTGTTCACTTATATCTACTGTCGCAAGACTGGATACACTTTATAGAACACGGGAAAAAATCCAGGGTGTGTTTACCTGGAGCATCGCAGTCGGTCGTTGGGCTCCCAGGTGGGGTTCGGTACCCGCTCTCTCCTGGCCCCTGCTGTCCACACACCAGCAGTATCCAGTGGAGCCGTGGCACTGCAGCGGACGGTACCGACCATCGTCATCACACTCAGGGACGAAGGCTCCCTCCAGGGGGACACCACCCGGTCCGCTCTGCAGGCTGTCTCTGTGCTGCTGACACTGAGTCTTAGGACGCTCGGGATGAACTGAGAGAGAGAGAGAGAGAGAGAGAGAGAGAGAGAGAGAGAGAGAGAGGAGAGAGAGAGAGAGAGAGAGAGAGAGAGAGAGAGAGTAGAGTAGTGATGTTATTAGAATCACACATTTGGTAGGGCTACAAACAGAATTCTTTAATTAATGTAGGTATTGTGATATAAACTCAGTCTGTTCTACAGTTTCTCATTAGGCTGGATGGGATTTTTATCCAATTGGACACCAGTGGGGGGAAGCATGGAGAGGTCAACTGTATTTTACAGCTAAAATAAAACCAAAGTAGCTTAATTCCAGAGAACTGGTCAGTATCAGCTGTTTATCTACACACCATCTATGTCATCGGTGGGCAACTACAACACAGAAAACCAAACAGCAACTTCAGGGACTGATTTTTTTCTTGGCTGTAGCTGAGATATCACTTGGAATTACTAGGTCTTAGTATATCTTAGTATATATAGAGTATATCTGTGCCTCTTTTAAAGTGAGTTGGATCTCGTCAGGCTCTGACAGTTATGCGAGTTAAGCATGTGGAGTAATCCCACCCTCACGCTCTCTCTGGGACAGGGGCTCCCTCCCTCACTTTACACCTTTATACATTCATGTGTGTTCAAAACACTTCAAGGTAAAAGGTTCAAGATTTCAAGGATTTAAAATGTGGACTTTTGAACAGCATTAAAATTCAGACTGAACTCTTTCAGTGGACACTCTGCAGAAACAGAGAGCCCGAGCTGAAGTGGGCCGTCTGTGATAACTGAGCCAACTCTGCTTTATCTTTTCGCAATCTTTTCTGTTGAAGGTGTGCAGTGGACGGTTGTGGATGCACAGATTCTGTTGTGTGTGAGTTTAAAGGGGTTGAGCGTTTAAATTGAAGAGTCATGATGGAAAAAAAAACCTGGTCAAAAATGTCACTGGTGTGTTTTTTCTTCACTTCTTCACTTCTTACCAATAAAAAAACGTGTTTTTTCAAACCTCTGGCGCGATGCAGCACCAAAACTAAAAACTAGCCAAACGTGACTCTTTCCCTTTAATGTATGTCTGAAATCACCTGCATCACTTTATGGCTTTTAAAACTCTTTATCTTCACTGAATTTTAACTGTTCTCTTATAGCTACTGTGGCAAGACTGGATACACTTTATAGAACACGGGAAAAAATCCAGGGTGTGTTTACCTGGAGCATCGCAGTTAGTGGGTGGGCTCCCAGGTGGGGTTCGGGTGCCCGCTCTCTCCTGACCCCTGCTGTCCACACACCAGCAGTGTCCAGTGGAGCCGTGACACTGCAGCGGCCGGTACCGACCCTCCTCATCACACTGAGGGACGAAGGCTCCAACCAGGTGGACGCCACCCGATCCGCTCTGCAGGCTGTCTCTGTGCTGCTCACACTGAGTCTTAGGACGCTCGTGATGAACTGAGAGAGAGAGAGAGAGGGAGAGAGAGAGAGAGAGAGAGAGAGAGAGAGAATAGAAAAATGATGCTATTAGATTTACACATGTTGTAGAGCTTTAAACAGCATTCTTTGGTTAAATGTAGTGTTTCTCATTAGGTTGAATGGGATTTTTACCAGCTTATCCAATCGGGCACCAGTAGCTATTTGTTTGAGAAGCATGGAGAGGTAAACTGTAATTTTTTTATTTATTTATTTATTTTTTTCCTCAATTTAGTCGTGTCCAAATCCACCCACTAGTAAGGACTCCCCCAATCACACAATACTACCAGTGCTAGGAGGGTGAAGGCAAACACAGGCTTCCTCCGAGACCTGTGAAGCGCCACCGCTTCTTTTCGAACTGTCGCTCACGCAACGTCATTGGACAGCCGAACGCGCTCGGAGGAAAGCGCCAACCACCAGTTCCGCTACATCAGCTAACAGACGCCTGCACTGACTAGCATCACGCTGAGAGATGGGGGAGACGGGGGTCCATCCTACCCACCCAGAGAGAGCGAGGCCAACTGTGCTCTCTTGGACTCCCGGCCAAGACGGCTGTAGTATCACCAGGGATCAAACTCGCGATCTCCTGATGATACGGCCAAGGCTTAGAGGGTTGCACCAATCAGGAGCCCAGGTCAACAGTACTTTACAGCTAAAATAAAACCAAATTAGGTTAATTCCAGAGAATTGGTCAGTATCAGCTGTTTATCTACACACCATCTACGTTGTCGGTGGGCAACTACAACACAGAAAACCAAACAGCAACTTCAGGGACTGATTTTTTTCTTGGCTGTAGGTGAGATATCACTTGGAATCACTTGGTCTTGCTGAGCCGCCCATGCTGTGGGAGAGAGAGTATATCTGTGTCTCTTTTAAAGTGAGTTGGGTCTCGTCAGGCTCTGACAGTTATGCGAGTTAAGCAGGTGGAGTAATCCCACCCTCACGCTCTCTCTGGGACAGGGGCTCCCTCCCTCACTTTACACCTTTATACATTCATGTGTGTTCAAAACACTTGAAGACAGAAGATTTCAAGGATTTAAAATGTGGACTTTTAAACATCATTAAAATCCAGACTGAACTCTTTCAGTGGACACTCTGCAGAAACAGAGAGCCCGAGCTGAAGTGGGCCGTCTGTGATGACTGAGCCAACACGGCTTTATCTGCTGGAAACACAGCTTGGTTGCAGGTTGTTTTCATTCATAAGTTGAGCTCATAGACTCCACTGTGTTCTCCTCTTGTTGTCATTGTCTCTCTCCTGTCACTTCCAACATAAACGTATTTTTAAAATAACATGGTTTTCTGGAATCAGCTCTGAGGACGTAAACACGACTCTGCCATTTTAAACTCCAAATACTGTGGCTCGCTCTGTATTCCATAATCTTTCCTGTTGAAGGTGTGTAGTGGACGGGTGTGAATGCACAGATTCTGTTGTGTGTGAGTTTGAAGGGGTTTAGTGAGTGAACTGGACAGTCAAGATGCTTCTTCACTTCTTCACTTTACTAATAAAAAACATGTTTTTTTCAGTGTCAAACCTCTGGCACGATGCAGCACCAACTGACAATCAAAAACTAGCCAAATGTTTCCTTTTAATGTATGTCTGAAATCACCTTCATCACTTTATGGCTTTTAAAACTCTTTATCTTCACTGAATTTTGACTGTTCTTTTACAGCTACTGTCGCAAGACTGGATACACTTTATAGAACGTCCAGGTGTGTTTACCTGGAGCATCGCAGTCGGTGGGTGGGCTCCCAGGTGGAGTTCGGGTGCCCACTCTCTCCTGGCCCCTGCTGTCCACACACCAGCAGTGTCCAGTGGAGCCGTGGCACTGCAGCGGCCGGTACCGACCCTCATCATCACACTCAGGGACGAAGGCTCCCTCCAGGGGGACACCACCCGATCCGCTCTGCAGGCTGTCTCTGTGCTGCTCACACTGAGTCTTAGGACGCTCGGGATGAACTGAGAGAGAGAGAGAGAGAGAATAGAGAAGTGTTGTTATTAGATTTATACATTTGGCACGCCTACAAACTGAATTTTTCTGTTAAATGTAGGTATTGTGATATAAACTGAGTCTGTTCTACAGTTTCTTATTAGGTTGAATGAATAACCGACTCTAAATGTAGGTATTGTGATATAAACTGAGTCTGTTCTACAGTTTCTCATTAGGCTGAATGAATAACTGACTCTAAATGTAGGTATTGTGATATAAACTGAGTCTGTTCTACAGTTTCTCATTAGGTTGAACGAATAACTGACTCTAAATGTAGGTATTGTGATATAAACCGAGTCTGTTCTACAGTTTCTCATTAGGTTGAACGAATAACTGACTCTAAATGTAGGTATTGTGATATAAACTGAGTCTGTTCTACAGTTTCTCATTAGGCTGAATGAATAACCGACTCTAAATGTAGGTATTGTGATATAAACTGAGTCTGTTCTACAGTTTCTCATTAGGCTGAATGAATAACTGTGTAGTTATAACACAGAAAACCAAACAGCAACTACAGGAACTTGGTCTTGCTGAGCCGCCCATGCTGTGGGAGAGAGTATATCTGTGCCTCTTTTAAACTGAGTTGGATCTCGTCAGGCTCTGACAGTTATGTGAGTTGAGCATGCGGAGTAATCCCACCCTCTGGAACAGGGGCTCCCTCACTTTATACCTTTAAAAGGGCTGAAACGGACCTCTGCACCACACTAAATGGAGCAATAACTGCCTCTCTGAGACAGATAAGCACTGACACACAGTGGAGATGAACTATATGTCAAGAAGTCTGTAGACACTCAAGGGTATTAAAACTGAGTTTGTCCCACTAACAGCCTCTGCTCTTCTGGGAAGGCTTTACACTACATCCCATAGGGGTGGGAATCTCTAGGCACCTCACGATTCGATTCGATTACGATTCAGAGGCTGCGATGCGATTATAAAATGATTATCGATCTCGATGCATCTTTTTTTTCTATACAGCATTTCTATTTTCTCACTGTGTGAGGTCTTGGTAGTTTTAAAGCAAAGTATTTGTAATGATCCATAATGAATTTACTTCCAATATGTTTTATTAATAAATCAAATGGAAGTGATGTGGTTAGTGAACTAGAAGGCTCTCATTCACTGCCTTTGGAGCACATTAGACGCTGCTGCCATTCATCTGCGATAAAATGCGCAGTTACGGTGAAATAAGATCCAGTGGCAGTGGATGTCCACGCAGCGCGTTACAGCCGTCCTACCCGTTTTTAGTCATTTTAGAACTTCGGTTTTGGTCTCGTTGTAGAGAAAGGTGGGGGGGGTCGCTGTGTCAGTAAAATATCCCTGAGACGGGGCGTGTGCAACATAGCGCGAAAGCCCTGTTTCACAACGAATGAGAATTGCCGTGCAGACTGCAGGTCACCTAGCAACGTTTCTTTATTCGCATTTATGATCAGCGCGGTTGATTTCCTGGTACGTTAAATCTGCACCACCACCATAAATTAAATATTTAGAAAATCGACTTTTGACATTTGTGAATCGATTCAGAATCGTTCACGTCCGCATCGCGATGCATCTAAGAATCGTTTTTTCCTGCACCCCTAACAACCCATGTGTTGGCCCGCTGGCCAAGTCAGGCCAATGACACACTCCTATTTGGCCCCAAAATTACTGTAATTTTCTATTAATATAAGCTCATTTCACCATGACCTGCACTACAGACAGCACCACAAAAACAAAACAAAAAGAAAAAGACGCCAGGTGTCCAGTTCAAGCGAATGGACAGTTTCAATAAACCTACTGCACACTGGGAACATTTAAAGAGATTTAACAGTGATCTGCAGCTAACGTTGTCTTCTGTTTTATATGAAACAATTCGTTTTTATTTAAAATTATTTTTTAATCGTTCAAGTATTCAGTGCCTATTTTTTTGCTGTTGTAATTTTGGCATATTTTGAATAAACAATGGCCAGTTGGGGTCGTGGCAAAATGTTAAGTAAAAGTGAAAACAAATCTGGTCCAAGGATTTGCTGACATGTTTTAATATGGTCCTTTTACTGGTTGTATTTGACACCCCTGCACTAGATGTTGGAACATTGCTGTGAGGATTTGATTGAGCGTTAGTGAGGTCAGGTACAGATGTTGGATGGTCAGTTGTGGATCACTCCAGCTCATCCCAAAGGTACTGGATGGAGCTCCATCACTCTAGAAAACGCAGTTCCACTGATTCCCAACGCTGGGGGGCTTTATAGCCCTCTAGCCCGCACTTGGCATTGGACATGGTCACTTTAGACTCATGTACAGCTGCTCCAAAGTGCCCCATTCTATTGGTCAAAGCTTTTCAAAGGAGATTATACAAACTGTGACGGCAGTGGGTCACCTTACAGCAGCTGATTCACTAATTAGAAAGGCTGTCCGGATACTTTTGGACGGTGTATATTAAAAAGAGCACTAAAAGAATGTAGCAAGGACGAGTTTCATCAGTTACAAGCTCAAGTTAGGACCTAATGTGTCTCTAAATAGGGCTTCATCAAGGAGCTGTGATGTTTATAGACAACAGAGTGTCATTCAGTGTCAGAAGCCACATGATCAAGTCTATGAGAGATACTGAACGACTCCATACAGTTTGAGTTGAGTGTACCATGCTAACTGATGGGCTTCCATTACTTGTTAGCTACGTTCGCCTCGTAGCTCCAGTGCACAACTAAAGAAGCAAACTTCACACACCAAACAGTCCTGGCTGACCTACTAAACGTGGGGTTGATCTGAATTTTGGCCGAACTCTCTCTTTAAAAGCAGCTTTAAAAAAAGACCAAGTTCATTATCTACACTTACCCGGAGCATCGCAGTTGGTGGGTGGACTCCCAGGTGGAGTTCGGGTGCCCGCTCTCTCCTGGCCCCTGCTGTCCACACACCAGCAGTGTCCAGTGGAACCGTGGCACTGCAGCGGCCGGTACCGACCATCGTCATCACACTGAGGGACGAAGGCTCCAACCAGGGGGAAACCATCTGATCTGCTCTGCAGGCTGTCTCTGTGCTGCTCACACTGAGTCTTAGGACGCTCAGGATGAACTGAGAGAGAGAGAGAGAGAGAGAGAGAGAGAAAGCGAGAGAGAGAGAGAGAGAGAGAGAGAGAGAGAAAGCGAGAGAGAGAGAGACAGTGAGCAGAGAGAGAATGGATCAATAAAGTGAACAGCATGTTGTTGTTGAATAAAACCTCATATCTCATACTGAAGGAAAAACATTCTTAACTTTTAATGTAAATTAATGTAAAAACACATTTTCTGTGCCTCCACAATTCTGTGATTACAAAGTCATGCAAATTCTACCAACTCTCACAATATTTGCAAGAGCTTGCCATTTTTTTTCCAATCACTGCATTATTACTGCAAGAAATGTCATATAATAATTTTGCCCTTGCAAAACAGTGAGAGGGTTATTTGTTCATTTATTATGAAATTTTACATAATATAAAGGTCAGCTGAGAAATTATATAAAATAATGATAAAAATGGAGTTTGAAACCTCCAGGTTAAATTACATTTTGTCAACTTTTTAAAAATGGCATTTTTTGCAAATTGTGCACCTATTTATTTGCTGAGTTTAACATACTGGAAAAAATAAAACATAAAATATGAAATGTGTCATAACTTTTGCACAGGCCACATTTTAAGTTCCAATTTTCTTTTAATTTTTAATTTGATTATTTAATAATATTCTCCTTTAAAATCTATTGTTTTAATCATGTTTTTAATTTCTATTCTCTGTATTTTCTGACTCTATATTTTCTCATTTGTGAAGCACTTTGAATGACGGCAGAGTATGAAAGTTGCTATATAAATAAACGTGCCTTGCCGATATGTAAATTCAGCAAATAAACAGTAATTATGCATTAAAATGTGCAGAAGTGTGTCTCTGTAAAGAACGTTTTCACTTATTTACACTTAGAAAATCAACAAAACATCACTTTGCACACAACTATAAGATAAAGCTGAAAGTGGACTGTTGAAGTGAGTCCTAATTGAGACACAGTGTGACAGTGAAACTTCTAGTAAGATCATCAAACACTAACCGGTCTGAGGGTGGCACTGGAAGCCATCTCCATGGAAACCGTGCTGGCAGCGGCAGTGGAAGGAGCCCGGCGTGTTGGAGCAGGAGGCGTGAGGGTGGCACGGCTGGGTTCGGCACTCATCAACATCTACATACATACAACACAACACGCTCAGTGCGCTGTCCATAGACACAGCCAAAAAGCCCAAACATCCAGCCTGAATGACCCTCATATATCTGACCAACAATGTGGTTTGACCATGATTCTTTAGGAAATGATTCAATGCATAAAGAAATCAATTTCACCACGTTTTGATTACGTTTACAGGTGGAATACATACATATAAGACAGATGCACAGACATTCTGACCACTGAAAGTTCAAAAGGTCAAACCCAAAAGATTAAACAGGATTATCAAAATGTAACACACATTCAAACGGTTTGAGCCGCAGTAGATAAAGGCCCAATCTCATTACACCCCTCGCCCCTACCACTTAGCCCTACCCCTCCGTTTTGCGTGTTCACGTCTAGGGGTAGGGTGTCCTGGTTCTTGTTGAGATAGAGGGGTAGGGTGAAGTGTTGGGGCTACATGACCCTCCAAAAGGAGGGTTTTCAGAGACTCCAAACAGAGAGTTATGAGAAAAAACCCACAAATGTGAGAATTTTCTCTGTTAAAAAATTACAATAACCACTGTATTATCATAGTTAAAGTCGTTTCGATGTATTATGGTCCTTTTCTTCATAACAAGCATAAAGAAATCTAGTACTATGCTGATGTCTCAATAGTTAGCTAGCTAAATTTCCCATTCCACCTTAAATGGACCATTTAAGGAGGACCAGGAAAGTTCGAACAAGGAGCCAGTTCTTCCATTCTTTGAAGGCATATGATTCCCTAAATGTAACTAAAGCCCAGCAGTGAGGAGCTGAACTTTACCCTCCTCTGTGGTCACTGCAGACTGGCAGGGTCCCCTACAGATTTATTTGAGGGTCCCATTTCAGAGGGAAGATTTCAACCACTACCCCTTGTAACTCAGGCTTCTAATCTTTCTAAGTAGTAGAATAATTAACTGCATAATTCCTATTAATTTTATTTTTTACTGTTTCTCATATCTGTTGAATCAAATTTCATGCAACAGCTTGTGTGTACGTTAATATTACCATTAAAACATTACAGTTTATTCAGTGCTTCCATGCTGATGCATTACAGTGCAGTTTTGCACCCCTATCGTGAGGCCTTTCCCTCTGCCTGTGGGATTTTAGCCAAAAATGGAAACATCTAACTGTCCTCTGACCATGTTCTCCAGCTCAGAGTCTCCTACGCACATTCCTGGCCAGGACATTGGGCCATTGTTTCAAAAAAAAGAACTCCCCCTCCCCCGGCTCTGGTCCCCTTCGCCCCTCTCACCTACAGACCCTCATTCAGCTTTGCTTTGGGCTTTAGGCCAGAAAATGAGCCTGTGTTTGAGCCAACACTGAGCGGCACACACCAGCGCAGAAACACACCTCACACTGGTGTTCACACACGCTGACACATCTGTTACAGATCCAGTCAATGAGCCGATTCTCTGTGAGCTCACAGCGCTGATTAGCCGTTCCTTTAAACCCCAGAGAGGCTCTGGATGGAAAGGAAAAGAGGGCGGGTCCTTCATTACTGAACCCCACACTACACCCTAACTTACATCAGACCCCGGACTATACTACATAGTACCATACACTACACCGTACATCATACCCCACACCAGCGGTCGGCAACATGCGGCTCTCTCACTGTCCTGTTGTGGCTCCACAGCAGAATCAGATTAGTAGGTAAAAATAAAATAATCCTCCTTTACAGTAAAATAAAGCTCTGCTGATCCTTCAACACAGTTTAACAATAAATGGTCTTAAACTCAGGAGTTAATGTAGAACTGCTGATTCACCCTTTAACCCTGAAGATCAGCGCAGACTGCTGGTCACCACAGCAACACAGACAACAGTCTCGCCTAGCTAGTAGCTAACGAAACGGCAAAGAGAGAGATTTAAGATGAACATCGATAATCTGGAGACAAATGGACTCATTTGCGTTTATAATCACTCCAGCTGGTTTCCTGATACGTTTAATCTGCAACGTGAAACTGTCAAACAATAAAACGTCACAAAGCTGAAGTCTTTCTCAGTCTCCAGCTTCTTGTTCGAATTTTCCTGTTCCACCTTAAAAGGTGCCACAGTTACATTCTGGCACCTCAGGCACCATTTAAGGTGGAACAGGAAAATTCTAACAAGAAGCTGGAGACTGAGAAAGACTTCAGCCTCATAAAAATCTAATGTTGAGAAACATTTTACAAGAAACTGTTCTACTTTTGTTTCCTGCTGGAGATGTGAGAAAAGCAGCTACAGCTGAGCTAAAGCTTAAAGCAGAGCAAAGTAAGTCTGTGTTTTTGTTTATATTTTAGCCTATATTAGTACATCAGCACAAACTGAGACATATTTACTGCCAAGATGGTAAAATGGACATAAAATGTTGTGGTTCCCAAGGTGGTTTGATTTTTGCTGAAAGGACAAATTGGCCAACCTCTGACCTACACTATATCCTACAGTACACTACAGCTACTTGTTTAATGATTTGTTGTTAAGACCATTAAAAGCTTAATGTTTTGCCTTTTTTTGCACAGAAGTGTAGGTTAGAGTGTAGTGTAGCGTAGGATAAGATGTAATGTAACATATTGTACAATAAAATATAGTTTCATTAATTTACGTTACAGAATAATTCCCTTAGCCAGAGTTAAATGAGAGAATGTTGCTTTACTTGCATCCCTGCATGGCTCTGAGGAAGAAAGTCTTGCTTGTCTAATGCCGCTCAGGGTGCAGCTTACATTTGCGTTGCATCATGACACATTTTACCAAGCAACAAAAACAGATAGATGTGAAACAGATTTTGTTTAGCTGGTGGTCAGTTTTGTGTATTTGAATGGGGCAACATTTCTGATTGCGCTGCAGAAGGACATTAGACAGGTGCTCTTACCTTTACAGTTGCGTCCGTCATATCCAAACTCATATCCACTCTGACACCGGCAGGTATGACTTCCCGGCAGGTTCACACACTCAGAGTGAGATCCACACGAGCTCAAACCCTCCACACACTCGTCCACGTCTGTGTGTGTGTGTGTGAGAGAGAGAAAGAGAGAGAGAGAGAGAGAGAGAGACTGAAACAGGCTTTTTTTCTGTCACTTAATTAACCAACTAATTTAATCGCAGTTCATTGAATTAGTATTACTTGCTTTAAAAGCTGTATTTGAATGAAAGCACTACAGTCACAGATTCAACATTCAGCCTGCACCACTGCGGATGGGTTGAAGGGTCAAGCCCGGAAAATTAGAAGTGTTAATAATTTATCACATTAATGTGTTATTAACATGGTCTAGTATGTATAGATGGACAGACAGACAGCCATATGCAAAAGAGTAAAGACCCCCAGTAACATTACATTTTGTTGATTCTCTAATTAAAAAAATAAGTGAACACATCCTTTACGGAGAGCATACTTAAACATAGCAGCTTTGCTGAGTTTAGCATGTCAGAAAAAAAAATAAACATATAAAATATATAATATAAATATATAAAATGTGCCATAACTTTTGCACAGGCCATATTTTATTATGTCTTTTTAATTTGCCAATAAACAGCAATTGTGCATTAAAAGGTGCAGAAGCGTTTTCTCTGTAGTGGATATATGAATTTTTTTCACTTAAAAAATGAACAGATAGATAGATAGATAGATAGATAGATAGATAGACAGACAGACAGACAGACAGATAGATAGATAGATAGATAGATAGATAGATAGATAGATAGACAGACAGACAGACAGACAGACAGACAGATAGATAGATACATAGATAGATAGATAGATAGATAGATAGACAGACAGACAGACAGACAGACAGATAGATAGATAGATAGATAGATAGACAGACAGACAGACAGACAGACAGATAGATAGATAGACAGACAGACAGACAGACAGACAGACAGACAGATAGATAGATAGATAGACAGACAGACAGACAGACAGATAGATAGATACATAGATAGATAGATAGATAGACATTTAAGTGCTGTGACAACACTAACATCAAACGTTCATGTTAATAAAGCTTCTTAGCGTTCAAGAGATCGAGTGAAAGAACGAGGAAGTGAGAGATTGTGAAGGAGAGGGAGTTAAAGAGAAATAGTGAAAGAGAGAGGGAGTGAAGGAGAGATAGTGAAAGAGAGAGGGAGTGAAGGAGAGACAGTGAAAGAGAGAGGGAGTGTTCAGTCATGCTAAGAGAGCCATTACTCTTACTGTACTAACAGAGAGGAGAGACAGTTTAACAGTACTGTCCTCTCAGGGTTTAACGCTCAGGAGGAGGACGGTTCTCTGTAACACAGTGATTCATTATAGTGGACGCTGAGTGGGTTAAAGCCGTTAGTGTCATCTCGCTGAGTGGACAGTCTCAGTGAGTGGACAGCCTGCCTGCGCGGAGCATTAAGAGAGAACATGGCCTAAGATCCTGCCCCGCGTGTGGACTGAAGGAGAAGCCCCTGTTAGAGGGTGGGAAGAGGCCTGCAGAGAGCTGGTTTTGATCACTGTAATAACAGGAGGGTCCGAGACCCCCTCCCACTCTCTCTTTTTTTCTCTCTCGCTACAGAGCTAGAGATGTAACAGGTGATGAAATTACACTCTAGGAGGAACCAGCTGTTCTCTCTACACACACACACACACACACACACACACACACACACACACGCAAACACACACACACACACACACACACACACACACACACACACACACACACACACACTCACACACATTTGTTTCCTTGAGGAGTGTTTTATCACAGACACAACTGTAGCTTCAGATATACATAAATACAGATAGATAGAGAGACAGAGAGACAGGCAGACGGGCAGACAGATAGACAGATAGATAGATAGACAGACAGATAGATACATAGACATACATATATATATATATATATATATAGATAGACAGATAGATTGATAGACATACTGAAAATTTGAATAAAAATTTAAATTTCAAAAAAAAGTTAAATTTCAAATTTAACTTTTAAGAAAGAAAGACAGACAGGTGTCATTACCGTAGCAGCTGCGTCCGTCTCCGGTGTATCCTGTGGCGCACTGACAGGTGAAGGTGTTCCCCTCTCCAGGTAAACACTGAGCCGTGGTGTCACAGTCATGATTCCCTGAGTAACACGGGTTCACCTGCTCAGGGTCCACCTCACCGGCTACAGAGAGAGAGAGGGAGGGAGAGAGAGAGAGAGAGACAGAGAGAGAGAGAGAGAGAGAGAGAGAGAGAGAGCAGTTAAACATAAACTCACCAAAACAAAGAAAACAACTCGCGGCTTTATGGATCTGGACGAAAGGAAACTGCTTTACAAAGGAAACGGCAAAGCTAAATATAGACTTTCCTGTCTGTAAAACCACAGAGTCACTGCAGCATGTTCAGCGCTCCAACATCAGTCAGCAAAGGAGCAGAAACTGCCTCAGTTCTGTCCACTTAAGCATATTTTAACATGCATGTCATGCATTTAACAAACATTTGTCCCAATTCTATCATCATCTGACTGAAGTGATGGGTTCATAAATGTCTATATAGTGTGTCAGTAGAGCCGACAGCCCATTACAGTGATTATGGGTATAGAAATGTAGTGTTGCATCGTAATTCAACTACACTGAACTTACTTGACTTACTTTAATTACTTGAAAGTATAATAGGTTATAATATTATGTAATAAGGCCATTTCAGGCCAAAATAAAATTAATCAACTTTATGTACTGGGTGGTGGATCATTGTTTTAGTCCACATGCCTGCAGTGTCGGGGGGAAGCCCAATTTATAACAGCCATACAGACTATTTAACTGTTTTTTTGTCAATACACAAATTTTCAGCCCTGCTTCCACTAATAGTACTGATATCCTACTACTATGACTAATAACAACAGTCATATGACTTATAATAACAGTCATAATACAAATAAGAATAGGTAAAATGTTCAGTTTCTTTATGTTTAAGCATATCAAGTTACCAGCACAATAATATGGGACTCTTATTATGATAGCAGTGACTGGCATTAATAAGTGCACAGCAAAAAAAAGCATATAAAGCTGGATTCATTTGGCTGGTCCAGCAAACAAGTTTTGTTTTTATTGTATACATTCCACTACTGTGTAAACAGCCCCTCCAGTCACAGTTTTTCAGTGTATTTTTACAAAGTAAAAAACAATCAGATTAATCTGCTTATTCTGCTTATTATCACATTTTTCAATCTGATTATTTTGAAAAATTGACGATATATAGAATCAAATTAAATCACAAGTTCAGATTTGCACTATAAGTAACACTACAGACGCGCAGTCCTCAGGCAGAGTATGACTGTGTGTGTAGAGGTGTTAGCATATGGTGAGGTGTGAATTCTTTCTCTCAGATAGACGTAAAGTGTCCCATCTCAACTTGACCCCAGGGGTCAAAGTACCCGACCTGGAAAACACAACACTGTTAAACACCTATAAAACCTTAAGGACCCAAAACACCGTCTAACACAGCGGGTCCTAACTTTACTGACAGGCACACATAAGAGCTGATATATATATTTTTGTAAACACCATAATGGGAGGCAAACATAAAACAGACAATAAGGGCCACCGCACGCCGGACACACGGCGCGGCCTGTAGGCCTGCGCTGTTTTTTCAGGAGGGTTTTTTTTCCCTCGTTATCCCAAATGTAGCAGATCAGCCGAGACACGTTTGGTGTCTGAAGTTTGCTTCTTTACTTTCAGCACTAGGGCTACAGTGCTAATGCAGCTAACAAGTAATGGAAGCTTATACCTCACCAATTAGCACGGTGCTAACTGCACATCTAAACCATCACACATTCGCCTCAAACTGTGTGGAGCTGTTCAGTGTCTCTAATAGACTTGACTGTGTGGTTTATGACTCACTGTTATTATAAACACGGACTAAAGCACAAAAACTCAGGCTGCTGCTGTTTCAGCTATAATGTTTTAGCTTTTAGCTATAAAGTTCGAATGCCTGCTGGTGACATTTCATATAAATGACAATAATGTGTGGCCACACCATATTAACTCATGGGAACGAGATCCTAATGAGTGGCCACAACTTAGTAAGGCATGGGAACGAGATAATTAAGTCACGGCCATGACAGAGTAAGGCATGGGAATAAAATCATGCCTTATTAAGCTGTGGTCAAGGCTTCATTATCTCATTCCCACACCTTACTAAGTTGTGGCCACTCATTAGGATCTCGTTCCCAAACCTTATGAAGTCGTGGCCACGACTTAGTAAAGTGTGAGAACGAGACAAGTCGTGGCCACGACTTAGTAAGGTGTGGGAATGAGATCCTAATGAGTGGCCACAACTTAGTAAGGCATGGGAACGAGATAATTAAGTCGCGGCCACAACTTAGTAAGGCATGGGAATAAAATCATGCCTTATTAAGCTGTGGTCAAGGCTTAATTATCTCATTCCCACACCTTACTAAGTTGTGGCCACTCATTAGGATCTCGTTTCCACACTTTACTAAGTTGTGGCCACTCATTATTTTTATTTATACAGGGTTATGCCAGCAGGGCTCTGTAATAAAGTAATGATTTTGAAGATTTTTATATATCCTCGCTGAAAAAAAGACGTATCCATTATTTCTCTATTCATTTATTTATTTCTACATCGTTTGAAGCAGCTGCTCTTTTCATTGTGTGAAGAGTTCATCACAAATGACTCGACAGAGATGCTCCAAAATGACCTGAAATAAAACCTCTTTACATTTACGTCCATTCAAAGCTTAGACATCCTTGTCTTCTCCTGTACAGAGATTTTTCTGGACTGAGCCGCTTTCCGAAAGACAGCCGGACACTGCTGGACCCTCGCGAGGAGGCTGAAGACGCAGCTCTGTGGCTCAGCGGCTGCGCTGACTCCTCTGTTTCCCAGCGAGAACGCCTCCACTCCACACATTAAAACCAGCTTGATTTCCTCACCCCAGGCCAGAGACCAATTTGGCCAATTATCAAAGGCAGACAGGAAGACTTTTGTTTGAAGTGAGAGACAGAGACAGTCCCCCTTTCAAAGCGACTCCACGGGGGAAGGAAAAAAGTGGTGAGAGAGACGGAGAGAGGAAAAAAAACACAGGACAAGTGGTTCCAAATGAGGAGGGGGTGGTCCTGGTTCTTTTTAACTCGCTGTTAATTAAAGGGATGCGACAGAACAGCGGGTGGGACAGGGCTTTGAGGGGGGGGGGCACAAAGTTAATGCACCAGGTGGGAAGACCCTTTCACACACGTCGCTCTGGAAGGTGATAAGCTCAGGTCCAGGACTGCACTTGTTGAGGGCAAAGTTATGCAGTAAGCTCCTACCTTCTCACAGGAGAGCACAACCCAAGATTAGATCTGTTTGAGTTCTTTAAAGCTTTGAAGGATCTGTTTAAAGTTCTCCTAGAGAACATTAACAAAGGTTCAAGGACCAGTTTGAGGTTTAGGGCCTTTTCACACCTCTGTTTCCTGTTTACCTCCTGAGAATCACCAGAAGGTTCCACCTATGTGCTCAGGTATTGTTCATGATACACCCTCAAAAAAGAGTTCTTCAAAGATTCTTTGGTGATGGTAACAGTTATACAAAGAACCATGGTAACTCAACGAATCATTTTAATGCATAGATGGTTCTTTTGAATGGTTTGTTCCCTAAAGAACCTCCTAGAATGGTTCTATAAGGCATCAAAAAGGATTCTACTATTGTTCCAGGACAAAGAATCTTTTTGGTACTATACACAACCCTTTTTGCTGAAGCACTCTTACAAATGATGGTTCTTCAGAGGTTTTTAGTAAAGAAAATAGTTCTATATGGAACCATAAACAATCAAATGAGCCTTTGTGTGATTAAAGGGTTCTTTGCATCATTAAAGGGTTCTTCAGATTGATGGACAATGTGTTTCAGAAGGTGGTGCTATATAGAACCCTTTTCCAAAAGCTTCTATACAGAACTTACATTCATTCTCCATCAGTCTGGAGAACGCTTAAACAGTGCAAAGAACCCTTTAATCATGCAATGGGTTCTTTAAGTGTTCATGGTTCCATGTAGACCATTTTCTTTAGCCTTGAAGAACCATCTTTTTTAAGAGTGTACTATACAGAACCCTTTTTTTGCTAAGAACACTCTTAAAAATTGTGGTTCTTCAAGGGTTCTTTAGTAAAGACAGTGGTTCTATATAGAACCATGAACACTCAAAGGACCCTTTGTGTGATTAAAGGTTGTATATAGAACCATCTACAGCACATTCTCCATCAATCTGAAAGCGTCCTTCAGATTGATGGAGAATGTGCTGTAGATGGTTCTATATACAACGTTTTTGAAAAGGGTTCTATTTAGCACCAAAAAGTGTTCTTCTGTTGTTACGATGTCAAGCCTGTAACAATAGAAGAACCCTTTTCAAAAGGGATCTATATAGAACCATGTAATACACTCTCTGACAATCTGAAGAACCCTTTAATGATGCAAAGAACCCTTTAATCACCCTTTAAAGTGTCCATGGTTATAAATAGAAGTTTTTTTTTACTAAAGAACCATTGAAGAACCATCTTTTTCAAGTGTGAGTATATGGGCTGATCTCTCTCTTATAATGAAAGGTTCCAAAAAATGCTTCCCTGGAGTGATGCCATAGAAGAGCCACTTTTGGTTTCCAAATGAACGTTTTAACTGGCGTTTAGAAGAACCACATGAACGTGGGCAGAACAGTGCTACAAACGGACCAAATGACACATCTAACGCTTCACTTGTTTGTACTCGTTCTTCCCTTTTATAGAAATATGTACTACAAGTTCCTCTGAAGACGTTCTTCATCTCCAACATCTCCAACTTCTCCAACATCTGCTGCACTCAAATGACTCCAAGTGACTCAGACCAGCACTCAAGCCAAGAGCAGCACACAGTCCACTGTGGGCTGAAAGACAAGGACCCCAACAGATCATCAAGGTCAGATGGTTAGATGGGTGGTCTGAATCTAGACCACCAGCCACCAACAGACCCTTCTCCACCACAGGAACTGTTTCAGGAACTAAGGGTGGGTAATACGGCAAAAATATAACATCCTGAGATTTGATACTTGATTTGTGTCACAATATTTAGAGTCTTTTGAGGCTTGTAGACAAGCTGGAATGAACAGAGCTGCAAAAAAGGCTACAACAGGTTGTTATAATGCAGTTATTATACATTGGTTGA